GTATATAAGAAGTTTCAATGGTTGCCTTGCGTTTAGTTGGCTAAGCCCACACACACATACAAACGCACACACCCACTGACACGCAATGTGCATATGACGCCTTTTGAAACAAATTCTGCTCGTTGGCCTTTTCCAACACGTACAGTTGATGTTGGTATTGGTTGGCTTGCTTGGCATTTGCAAATGGCATTGACGAGGCATGTTAAAGAGCACAACCGAATGCTTAGCTCTGGTTAACATTTTTCTTTATCTTTACTAGCTTATCAGCCTAGCACGCTATTGTATTGGTTTCCATCGATCAATTGGCTGCGTAATTCGCCAATATAATTGGAGACCACAAAACCGGCTCCACAACAGCAAGCAAGCCCTATTCAGGCAATGAGCATCGTTGTTAGTTTCACATCAAATAATTAAAGCCGCTTAGGCATATTGAAAAGGAACACTCACTCCACTGAATAGATACAAGTAAGTAGTACTTGCAATATATAGTACTGGTAAAAAAAAACTAATCAAATTTACTCATAAAACAGCAATATGATTGATTCCCGGCAACTTTTATGTATATTGAATAGCTGACATATGAAATTTGTGCAGAAGCACGAAGGTAGATCAGAAAGTTTTTGGAATGAAAAAAAAAACCATTGGCAACATACACACTTTATAAGTCAGAGATAGGACTCAAAATTCACCGGATAGTTGAAAGCAGTTATGGACTACTAAAACTACCGTTTCTTTTTAGTCATAAGTGCGTGGGTGAACTTCAAGGCTTCAGTCATCAACACGAAAGTTATTTAAACTGACTATTATTATTTATTGATTTATTTCCAAAACGAGACTTGGGTTGTTAAAACTAAAATCTACTAAATACAAATATTTCGTTTGTTATTTATTATAACATGCAATTAATAATTTCTGTAAAATATTGTTCGCTCAATGAATATCGCTTCAAAATTCAAAAGAATGACTCTGGACTTTAATAATTACAAAACTTTCAACTTAACAGAATAAAGTTCTTTGCAAGTTTTGAACAAAAGAAAGTTTAAAGCCAAAATAAAACTTTAACAGGCCGCATGAACAACATTTTTCTACACAACAATAATAAAGATGATAGTTACCAGCGAACAAGAATTCACATTTGTTTTATTGGTTAAGTTTTATTTTTCTTTTTACTCATATAAATGTTGTACATAGCTTTCCAACTTTTATAACGATTTAAATATGAAAGAGCGAACTCTTATGCCACCAGAGGGGAAAAAATAAAAAGTTCTCTCTCTCTCAACCTTAAAACTTAATAGAAGTCGATGAATTTTAATAAAGCTTCTTAATTAATAATATTTGACAACATTGTTTGGTGTATTTAAATGCAAGAAACATCAGAAGGTAGCAAACGAATCGAATATGGATTGATTCAACGCGATGTGTTGAGAAACACATCTAAAAGGTCGATAAAAACAGTGGGATATTAAAAATGCTTTTAGCTGATTGCATTTTTGACCAATCACCTATTTTATATATGTAAGCAAAAGGAAAAAACCTCTTAAAACTACAACATTTGTATCGACTCCAACCTTTTATTTGTACGCTCATATATGGAAAAGCTGATATAGATAGAAAAGTATTTATATAGCAATGAATTTATTTATTCACCTAACAAAAGCAGTCAAATTGCTTACCTTCTTTACCATAGGTAATATGTAGCTGGGTTGCAGTTGATTATTATTTCAATAAATCTTGCTCTCACATTTGTATGCAAACCGTGTTAGACTACGGCTGTATTTACCATTAGTTGCGTTTTGCAAAAACTCGACTATAATCTGTTTTGCATAGCTGTGGAAAAACCAAAAACTCCTTCAATTTCCCCTCACGCATCCAGTGCTCGGCAGACTTTTGTATATTCAACGAAATTATTATCTACTCAGTGCACTATGTACGTGGTGGCCTCCAACTTGCCGACTCACTGACTAGCTGACTGACTAGTTTTATGTCCTTGTGTGTATGCACACAGACACACACATATATATATATATATATATATATATATATATATATATATGCACATACATATATATACACATACATATACATACACACACAGGCAACTCCACCCCCAGCTACCAACTCTCACATCCTGCTTCCAAACTCATCAGGCTGCTTATCTCATACAAAACACTGGTTGCTTTTGCTTTTTGCTTGCTGGCTTGCCAACAGCAATTGGAGCAAAAGAAATGACGAGAAATTCTGTATCACAAGAAATGTTTAAAAATTGTATACAAGTTTATGTCGTGCCAAAAAAAATTGAAAGAATTTTTCCTTACCTATTTTTCTATACAATGTCTTGTGCCTCAACAAGTTTTTTGTTGCACGCTCGCACTGCAAAAAAGCTCTGACTACTCTTTAAATTACTCTACAATTGAATCAAGCCAGAGGAAAAACGACAACAACAACTTTGCAAAATAGCAGTACACTCGCCTATATATAGAGAAACAGGCAGTTAAAAGTCTGTTTTATTTTCATTACAACCAGTCAAGCTATAGCAGCACCAACAACAATAATAACAATAGCGGTACAGCAATTTACGACTTCAAATGGAACGGGCGGCTCAAAAGCACACTGTAAAAAATCCGCTGCATAAATAGATTATTATTATCTGTAAGGACTATATGCTATTTCAATGTGCACTAGATATGTTTTATGGGCCGCTTTGTTCGACAAAGCGGACTTTTCGGCTTTGCTGTCTGAGCGAATGTAGGCTTAGAAAAAAGTCGAGGTGTCGAAGAAGCCGCGCTGGTTTCTTTCTAAACTTCTGGAACTCGTGGATAGGAGCTTTCAGGCCTATTTAAACTAACTATATAACACTTGCACAACATTTTCGAGATTGAAAAATTGGTATTATAAATCATTTGTTATTAGAAAAGACAGCTAATGCAAACAAACAAGTTTTTGAGTGTAGACAGCATTTTTTATGGCTGCCTGTCTACCTGAAAAGGCAACGCTCATGCTCACACTCACCCACGCATACTCACAATCACACACACTTTCTATACATATGGCAGCTTACCTTTATAGCTACATGGGTGGGTATGTGTGTGTGGCAAAATGGCCGCTAGCCACAAGTAAAACAAATGCCAGTGAAAAAATAAAAGAAATTAAAATAGCGGAGCGGCAAAGAATAAACCTAAAAAGCGAAATGATTGCAGGCAGGGCTGGGCTGGGCAGCACACACACACCTGAGAACACCTGAACCTGAAAGGGGGCGTAGTTGGGCGCACACCTGAGCAGGCAGCGTGGCAATGCAGCACACCCAACACATGCAAAGCATTGACTTGACACGACAGTAACAACAACACAATAACTCTCTAGTAGCAACACAAAAAGTGAAAGTAATGGCATGGCTAAAGTTGTATGTTTTTTTTGTTGTTTTTTGTTTTTCAGCTGAAACTCAGCATATTTTGAAGGACTTTCTGGCCTTAGCTTTTACTTTTCGCTATTGTTTATGTGTTTTGCGCTAAAAATTAAACTCCAAGCAGCGCAACATTTGTGGTTACGAAAATTACTTTACACGCCACTTGAACACGCAGCCAATGAAATGCCAACCGAAAATCCAAATACAAATAGGAATACAAATACGAACGCTTTCAATGCGACCAAGAGAAGATTTAATTAAATTAGAAAATAAAAAGGCCAACAGTTCTAAATAGAACGTTTGCCGCGACTTCTGCTGCTCAAAAGTTAACTATGCCAAAAGTTAAACAAAAGCAATAAAAATGCGCAAATTTATGTCGACCAGTAAAAAAAAAATGAGAAGAAGCTCCATGATGATAACAAGGTCAGCGTTTATGCGCACAATCACTCGATTGTGATTTACAATTAACAATTTTGTTAATATACTCTATTATACGTGTACTTATAAATAAAATGAAAGGAAGTTCACCGATTCTGACATTAGTCTCCTTACTTAATTGCTTAGCGTCCGCCAAATTAAAAGAAGATATCTATATTAGTTATTCATAGAACAACTGTTAATCCTTCTAATGCTATTAAAAAATATTAAAACTTGCAATTTTGAAATACTGCTGTTAATTCCATACTTAACCACAGAAAACTCTTGTGTATTAAATTTATTTTCGATTTTCAACTCTTTAAAATCAAAATATATAAATTTTCTTAAATATAAAGCATTCTTCATGTAATGATCAAAATAATTGTGAAACTAATGTTTTCTCTGTGCAAGGCATCGATAACTGACCTACACAAAACAAAATGTATTACCCAACATTGAAACTTATATTGTTATTGATATAATATTATGGTGATTGTAGTTTATTCAAGAGATACTAGAAATAAGAAACCAACAAAACATATTAATGTTTAAATTATTATAGATTTATTTATATATTACCAATTAGAAGAAAATATTAGACAAGACACCCCCCCACCAAGTACAATTGAATTTTAGAATAAAATCTGATGGTAGTTAAACTGTCAAAATGTAGATCCGACTTTCAAGTCCCAAACAGTGTAAGGTACTTATAACACTTTTGTGCGATATCTATAAAATGTTAATTAACTTGTCGTTAGTATCAACTAGCTATAATCAGGCACGCAAACAAATTGCACTTCTTTTGGCCACATTTAAAAAGTATTGCATAAGGTTAGGTAAGATACTGTTAGTTAATTCTAAGAATCTCCAAAAATTCTTAATAAATAAGAAAACTTCAGAATATGTTTTATAAAACTGATGCAATTCTGGAAACCCGCAATATAGTAATCTAGATAACATTTTTTCTCACAAATTGTCCACAATATTGTCAAAAAATGCATGCGTGTGCAAAATTTGTTAATATGCGTAATAACATGGTACAAATTATAGATATGTTTCGCTCTCAAACAGAAATCCACACCTAACCTAAACGGTTTTATCAAATGCTGCGTGATAAGTTGCTATTTTGTGTGCTACGCATAAACGTGGCGTCTGATAAGAGATACATTTTTCTACGTACGTTCACTTGGAAGCTAGTCCGCAATTAATAGGCAAGCAACTCGACGCTCACGACATTGAAGACTTTTGAGTTAAAGTTGTAGTAAGTATACTAGAATTTAATTCAAGCACTGGCACAAACACACACGCACGCAACAACACACAGATGATAATATACCGAAAATGGTTAAATTGAATTCAATTTAAAAGCTATGTTTATTTTATTTTGTTACGCGAGAACAGTATTAAGATTAAGCTCTTTTCACTACATTTGTTGATACAGAACGGTGTTTTTTTTTTTTTTTTTGGCAAAGAATTTGTTGGTTAAATGTTGGTTGTTGCAGCTAAGTATTTGTTAAGTTTAGACATATTTGTTGCTATTGCTGTTGTTGTTTTCTGGTTTGATTTGATCTGATCTGGTTTGTTTGTTAGTTGTTGGTTTGATTTGATTTCGGTTAGTTTGTTGTGCTGCGTGGTTGTTGAGTATGTTAACGAAATGAGGAAAGATTGTCTACTGAATTTGCAAAAGTTGGCTGGCAGGCTGGCAGGCAGAGCTTTGCTTTCGCTGCCTCGGCTTCTGCTGCTGCTACTACTACTGGTGCTGCTGTATGGACAACAGTGCGTATGTGTAATGCTTATGCGTGAGTGTGTGTTTAGGGAGTGCGCGCGCAAATGCGAACGCCTGCACACAACAGGCACAAAGGCAATGCCAATTGGGGCTTATAGGCGAGGCGTTCACAACAGCTGTGCCTTAGCAGCTGCTGAGAGAGAGCGCGCGCACTGCCTGAGCGACAACGAGAGAAAGAGAGTGAAGCCAAACTGAGAGACAGTGAACGAGAGAGCGCGCCTTGGCACGCATTTTTCTTTTGTGTGTACGGGTGAGTCTGTGTGTGCTAAAGTGAAAGTATTTTGTTGATTAAGTGACGCCCCCATAGCCACCTACGCCAAAGGTCGTCTGCAATTTCACTGATAATAGCGTTATTGATGTTGGCAATGCCGTTGCCGCCAAGTGTGGTGTAATGTGCTGCCTACTTATGAGCGCGCGCAACGGAAGTGCCTCAACTAAGTGGAGCTTCCTTTTGAGTGTCATTTACTTTTGCTCAGCTATGGGAAAAATGTTGCAAGTGCCCCGGCATTGCGGCTCATTTAAATGCTTAAGAACGCTTTTTGTGCTGACAAAATTAAATCTCGGAATGGCTTAAACGCTTATGAATAAGCTACATAAGGTACACAGAGAAATAGCTCCAATTTTATTCCAATGTTTTGGCTATCACGATGCGAAGTTTAACTCTAATGAATAAACTGCCTACGGTAAATATAAAATTAGATTCTGTTGTTTTTCAATATGTTAAACGTTCAGATAAAACCGCTTTTTATTCCATAAGTATATGGTTTCTTAGGCTAGTTCAATAAAGTGAGTCAAAAGTTTACTAATTTATTTCCCAACTGAATGTTTCAGAATGTTGCACAACTCGAACGTTTTGCCTTACGTATATTATGTTAATGCGAATAGATCAAACGTACTTCATTCTCAATCATATTGTTTTATTATATTCTTATAAAAGGGTAATCAAAATAAAACCCAATAATCAAACCAATCAAAATTTCAAATGCGAAATGAATGATATAAATGTATATAGTATAAGAACATGTTTGTAAGTGTTTTTTGTGTGCACAAATAAATCTCTTCGATTTTTTCTTAAAATAATTAAACTAAGAATATCTTCTAGAGCTTGGTAGCTATGTTCTGAAATATGTTTAATATCAATGTTAATCATTTTAATACTTTGCAAGTGATTTCTTTAATGGAAACTTCTATATAACAATTTGTACACCATATATAAACAGTTCCAATATTGCATGAATATGAACATGCATTAAATCGAACATGCATTTAATCTTGAATTGCAAACAAGAAAAAAACGTGCCACATTGCGTTATCTGCGCAGTTCCGTTATAGAATCTAAGCCACGACAAGCAACGCATGCCGAATACGATGCTTTCTAGTTGCTCAGCTCGCCCTGCTGTAATTCAAGATCTATTACAATAATGGCAAATTCGTAGCCAAAGGCAGCTATAAAACCAAAGTCAAGATCGCTAAACTCCATCAGTCAGCGATTCTTTCAACATGCGCAACATTCAGACCTTTTGCATTGCAATTACCATTTGTCTGATGGCAAATGTGAAAGCCAAGCCCACAGAAACACGGCGATACAAGCACTTGGGGTGAGTAAACTCTAATCGCGGAGCTTGTATAGAATAGTACTGATAGAAAATGTGGTCTGCAGGTATAGCAGTACTGCAGCACCAAACATTGGAAATGTCAATTACAATGGCAGCAGCATTCAAACCAGCAATCAATTGCCCATAAGCCCAACAATTAAGGCTAAGAATTCGTATACTTCAACACCATCAACACCACACTTTGAATATGTGCTACTGGGGCAGGATCCCAAGGATCAGGAGTGGTATCGTTTGAGCTTAGTCCCAAAAGTTGGCAAATCAAGCCTGAAGGCACAAATATCCACCCGCATAGCACCTCCCTATGATAAACAACAGACTCTTAAACATGATAAAACTATTAAGCAGTTAGTGGAGTGGCTGGAAAGCACTGAGGAACGAAACTTAATAAAAGTGTACAAGGATATGTTAGAGAATGACGAAGAGCTGAAGAGAAAGAACGATGAAGACATCGTAATACCGGCGGATAGTGCTGAGTACGAAACACGAAGTCAGTTAGATAGAGAAAATAATGGACAGCTGCTACTGGTGGACGGCGGATGTAAACAAGGACCCACAAACTCAACTGAGGATGAGCCCAAGGTGGTAAATAATTTTGTCTACTTTATAAAAGGTCTTAAGTGAGTAAAGCGGATTGGAATACACAAAACATTTATTAATAGCTGCAATTTCAAACTTGGACAAATTATAGCTGACAGCTCCTTTCATAATTCATATTTTCAAAACGTAGAAACTAAAGTTCAGATATTTTGTATCATCATATATACATAAAAGAATATACATAAAAAAATCGAAATTTTTAAAACAAATTTTGTGTTTAATTTATATAATAATATTATGCTTTACAACTAAATGTCAAGGGTTAATTAACAACACCTTTGTTTCAAGTGGAAAATCAGTTTACCACGGGAATTAAATTTAGTTTTTTTCCCTACTATGAGTGAAATTTTAAATGTTTTCCACATAATAGAATAGACATTTTTCTGACAATGCTTTATCCTCAATTTAACCAAAATTCACTTTTCATTTATCACAGAAATTGTGTTTCCTCCAATTTTTATAATTTCCAATAATTCAAATTTTCACAACGATCAGCCTAACCTGAACCTATAAGTATATAAAAAATTTTAAATATTTCAACAATCTAAAAACAAGAGAGAACGCTACAGTCAAGCAGGCACGAAAGTAAAATACCCTATACCCAGACAAACTTCTGGCTCTTAGGTATATATGTAGGTGCATAGCAGAAGTAAAAAGAAGATAGTGCAGTTTGTGGGCGTAAAACTGGAGCGATATTGTTTCGCTAATAACTTTTCTTAGAATTGACTGATTTGAATGAAATTTGAAACAAAAATTCATAATTATATATGAATTTCTACTGCCATGTTTAGTTTATGTAGGTTTAAAAATGCACAGTATTGACGAAATAAAAAAATTAACAAGTTAACCTGCGCTCAACCGTTTCCAAAATCTCATCGGTCATGGACGTTCGGGAAGATGGACCTAATATACCGTTTTTACCGAATATAAACAGCGCTAAAGCCGGGGATCACGGTGTGATCCGATCACATTTATCTGTCTACCAAAAGATCCTTTGAGAATCAAATGTGTCTTAGTTCGTACACTTATTGTTTCCCATTGTCTATTTTCTTGCCTCTTAAGTTTGAAATTGGAGCTCTGACAATGTTTCCAGCGAGATTTGAATTTGGGAACGCTTTGCATATGCAATAACTATCGATTTTTTGTCAATTAAGCGTGTTAAGTCACTACAACATTTGTGTTTAATTTTTCTAATGGCATAGAATTATGGGGAAAAAATGGGAATGGGCTGGCAGTGATGCAAAGCCAGCCTGCCACAGCATGTGAATCGAAAAAGATGAGTATCAAGACCGGAAGGAGAGCAAAGTTATCAGACGGAGAGAGCCGTGCATACAGGCTTTGCCGGCAATCGCGAAAAAAACGACCAAACTCATTCCAAAATACATTTTTCATTATTTAAACTAAGCCCATTGGTCTATTTTTGAAATAAACTAGTTGATTAAGCCAATTTATAAATACATTAAATTAAAATATACTTTTTGTATAAACTTTTGCTACTTACACAAAAGTGTTAAAATGTACTCTTTATTCATTTATTTATTTATAATAAAAACTCCATAAAATACAGGGTTTTTAGTTTTATCAACAGTTTTTAAAAAACAATAATTTTTTAGTATGTGTTCTTATCTCACCATATCTGACCATTAACCGGTATCGCAGAGCTAGCGGAAAAAAGCTATATTACTAACACAGCGCTTCACAATAGTCTTTGATGTTTTGAAGATATACTTAGTATGTGAGCTCTTAATTACTCGAACAATTCACAACCGCTTTACCGTATGAGAGAGCCACCACATGACGTCCACAAGCTTTCTCTTCTCCACACACAAAGTCGCTCTTTCCGTAAGATACCCACCACAGTACGAAGTTGAGCAAAGTTCACCGCAGAATGCAACGTTGAACAATCTACATTAGGCTGATAAGCGCCACTGCCACTCAAATGCAAAAACAACACAATCACGCAAATGTACAATGCATGTGTGGGAGCGTGTGTGTCTGTTTGTATATGTGTGTGGCACACATAGAAACTTGCTGCACCAATTGCACAATTGGAATAAAATTATAAGCCTTCCCCCGTTGGGCATCAATCAAAGAAGTTTCATGGCAACACTTTAAGCTTGACACATATACTTTTACATTAAGTATTACATGCTTAGTTATATATCGTGACACACATACATACAGACATACTATACGTACATACATATACATACAGTTTGTCAATAAAGTGTTTTTCCATGACGAAAATTGCATTTTCCTAACATCATCCCTCAATTTTATTAAACGGTTGCAACAAATGCATTTTTTTTTAATTTTTGTATTTCGCATTTTATTTTTCTAAGCAATTCTAACAAAGAATAAGAATGCAATGCAGATCCAACTCGTAAATATGTAAGTAAGGGCACAAAGGCACAAATCGAATGTGATTGCCAACCCTAATTCTATCAAGCGGGGCATATTCTTGGGATCGTTACCTTAATAACATTTATAATTACGAATTTCTTTCTTTTTCACTTTACCCTGAGCTATGATTAGGCACATTAGTTGAAGCCTTACCTGGGACCTATTTAAAAAAAAAATGAATACCCAATTAAAGGGCATGCATTATATCTGCAGAAACACTATTTTCAACTATTTTATCTTAGAAAAAGAATGAACATTTTTCTGATGTACTCGTACCAACTTTCTTAACAGACTGTATATATATGTCTATATATTGTTAATAACATTGCTTATCAGATGCCTGCTGCTGCCTGCCATGTTCGTGGCCGCCATCCTCCCGATTTGTGCGCTCCAATTTGCCATCCTGCAGCTCATAAGCTGGCCTATAAATTAATTTCTTTTGTGACTCATCGTATGTCAACAGACTGGGATTCACACGAGTGCTGCACTTCTCGCCCAGCGACGTATAACCCTGATCGTATAGCTTGCAGTAGGAGAGCTGATTGCCACGCAAATAGGCCCAAATATCGTGATAGCTCCACTCGAGCAGTGGAAAGATGCGCATCAGAGAGGGCCAATCGTTGTCGCAGGGCATCATTTCCTGAAAATTTGCGCAGCCCGGATCGCTGCGCCGACAGCCCAGAAACATGGCCCGCACCTGTGGCTGGTCGCTCATCGCCTGCTCCACGGCTATTTTGAGGGCTCCGTCGTAGCGCTGTAACTGTAACTGATAGCGCTGAGTGCAGCTGTCTATGAATTGTTCCACCTCCTCGAACGGATCGAAAGACTTCACGCAAATGGCCCGCAACGGTGGATCCCACTTTAATTTAGCCAGCACGTCCAGCAAAACGGTGCAATCTTTGCCGCCATTGAAGCAGAGCATCATCTCATTGGGCTTATATTGATGCAGTGCCTTGGCAATGGCATCGTTGGCCAACTTCAGTTTGGCCGCCAATTGTTCCGAGCTTTGAGTGCTGGGACTTGCAGACGCGGCTATTTGTGTGTGGCAGCAACGTCTGCCCACAACACCCGGCCACAATTTAGGTACTTGTAACAAAAACCTCATGGTAAATGATTCAAAAAGACCTCTGACGGAAAAAGCAAATAAATTTTGATGTTAACTGTCTCCCCCCCTCAAAAGCTGACAACTAAAGAACAGCTGTTAAATTCGTATTTATTAAATTAGTATCCTAAATACACACACACATTGTATATTTAGTAATGTTAGTCCTTTAGCAACAACTTGCTTCTCATTAATTGTCCATCAAAGCGGTTGTGAATTTGATTTCGTTTTTGCTTTTAGGACGTTTAAAGAACTAAATAATTTATTATTGCGTAATCTTAAAATACGAGGGCAGTCCGAAATTTGATTGAGCCTCACAATGATACATTTAAAAAAATGTATTTTGGTTCTTGGATCCTCCCACCTATCGATCTTTAGTCATCTAAGTATTCTTAGTTATCTCTTTTTTCATATCGTATTTATTACATTTGTATATATATATTGTATATTTAGTAATATTAGTCCTTCAGCAGCAACATGCTTCCCATTATTTTCCCATATCCACAAACAATGGTGGTCAGCATCAAAGCGGTTGTGAATTTCATTTTGTGTTTGCTGTTCTGTGTTTCCAAAAGCACTAATCGTAAAAAAGCTAGGATTTTCAAAGAAAACTAAATAATGTATTATTACGTAATCTTAAAATTCCTAAAGTGAACGCTTGTCAGCGAATTAGTTCCACTTCTTTAAAAAGTTTTAATATTTAAGACATTCAAGTACGTGTACCAATTGCAACAAATTTGTACATGCTATAGTGAAGGGAATGCTAGAAAGTCTTTATGTAACAGGCTCGCTTCCGGCAGCCTCGGGTGATGTCGATTTCCGTATATATAAATCCTAAAGACTTCTACTATGACATGCTTTTTACCCAACGCTACTCAATCAACAAAAAGTCTTGTATTTATTTTAAAAACCATTAAATGGTTTTTTTTTCCATTAAAAGTGAGCAAACGGGACAATCAACTTGCCGAGAGCTTCCTCATGTCCAACTCGTTGTTCAAAATATGGCAAACGCAGTATTTAGACATCTTAGTGATATCTCTGCTATTTCATTCTTTTGCATGGCGGTCGTCCAGAAACATTTTGCACTTTTTGATGATGTTTTCCTCATGTCCAATTCGTTCTTCAAAATATGGCAAACGTGATCTTTAGACATCTTAGTGATATCTCAGCTATCTCATTCTTTGGCATGGCGATCGTCACGAAACATTTTGCACATTCTGATGATGTTTTCCTCAGTGGTTATAGTTTAGGGCGTCCCTCAGCTTAAATCACAACAGCGTTCCTTGTGGCCCCACAACATTCAAAGTTTTCAATTTGCACAAAAGATTGTTTAACAATAACTATAATATCGGCAATACGGAATGTTTGGCGGAAACACATAAAAAGACGCCTTATCACAACTCAAAGTTTTATTAACAGAGAAGGTCGTCTTTGTGGCCCCGCCACAAATTTTGGGACTGCCCTCGCCCTGCTCGGCTACTACATTAAATATTATGCGGCAGATCCACCCTGATAAAGAAATATTCCAACCCAACTTCATTTGCTTTTATATTTGCATCATCAATATACATGAAGTAGAAATGTTTATGTTTTTAAAAAATTATTCCTTAAGGGACATTAAATTCACCCAAGGTCCCAATCCACAAACAATTGTTGTTAACATCAGAGCGATTGTGTATTTCATTTTGAATTTTCTGCTGTCAGGTCTTTTAAGAAACTGATGACGAGCTAGAAAGCTACTAGCAGTTTTAAATAGTGTTGACAATATTAGTTATGCTACACAACTTAATGTTAAGCCGTTCGGAGAGTCATTTAAAAACACCTGCGTCTTAACTGGCTAAATTGTTTGCCACCATAACCAATCTGCGAAGTTTCTAGAATAATTGATAACTTCAAAATGTTTCCATAAATATTTGTAAAATGTATATTTTTTTTTTTTACAAAACGAAATTGTGGAAAAATTTGATGTAATATTTTTTAAAAGTACTTTAAATCCAAAAAATCATTTTCTGGAATGTCCTTTTGTACATTCTTTGATATTGCTTGAATCTCCCCAACCCCGAAGTGGTCTTTTCTTTTATCAAAATGCCAGAAGTCGATACGAGCAAAATCAGGCAAATACGTGGTGCAATATTTTCGAAACCAAACTGACTGACTTCTTCGCGACCCAAATCTTCTCTTGATTGATGCAGTAGAAATGCCAACATCATTAGCAATGTTTCTAGTTGTTAGTCGATGATTTTGGAGGACCAAATCTTTGGTTTAGTTCATGTTTTCAACGCTTTCTCAATTTTATTAATTTTTTATAAAATCTAAAAATCTCATTGTCAAATTCAAACTAAACATCTTAGTTTCATTTTACAAGTACATAAGCCATGAAGACCTATTATAGAATGGACAACGATCAGCCTAACCTGAACCTATAAATATATTTAAAAAAATTAAACATTTCAACAATCTAAAAACAAGAACGCTACAGTCAAGCAAGCACAAAAGGAAAATACCCTATACCCAGACAAACTTCTGGCTTATACAAGTATAGGTGCTTAGCAGAAGTAAAAAGAAGATAGTGCAGTTTGTGGGCGTAGAACTGGAGCGATATTGTTTCGCTAATAACTTTTCTTAGAATTGACCGATTTGAATGAAATTTGAAACAAAAATACATAATTGTATATGAATTTCTACTGCCAAGTTTAGTTTATGTAGGTTTGAAAATGTAAACAGTATTGACGAAATCCGATCACATGTATCTGTCTACTTAAAGATCCTTTGAGAAACAAATGTGTCCTAGTTCGTACACTTATTGTTTCTCATTGCCTATTTGGTTGCCTCTTAAGTTTTAAATTGGAGCTCTGACAATGTTTCCAGCGAGATTTGAATTTGGGAATGCTTTGCATATGCAATAACCATCGATTTTTTGCCAATTAAGCGTGTTAAGTCACTACTAACCTCAATTCTTTAAAAATAATTTAAATAGCTTCGATACAAAAACCCATAAAGAATTTTGCCCTAGAAAATTGTCGCTGAGTTCATTGCTCGATATATGCAACGGAAATATTTGTTTATGTGTATATATTTATGTATGTATGTATATATATCAGTTGAGTCATTTTTATAAAAACCGTAAACAAATTTTTTCGTATAAGCACAAAATGCTTAGCAAGTGGCCGTCCAACGCTCATGAAATGCGGTCAGTGCTTCGTGAGCAGTTTTTGGCTTTGGCCACGGTCACGACTTTGCAGATGGTATATAAGACTTGGGTAGTTCTTTAGTTGGCATCACAGTTCTCTGCAAGTCGTAGAATCATCCAGCAACCAATCATGAAACCCATTGTGCTTCTCGCCACCGTCTGCCTACTGGCCAATTCTGTTGCTGGTAACAAGGACAAGGACAAGATGTTGGGCTCCTCTTACGGCTCAGGTGGTGGCGGTGGTTCTTCTGGTGGCTATGGTGCTCCAGCACCTTCTTATGGAGCACCGGCTCCCGCTCCTGCACCCGCTCCAGCTCCATCTTATACGGCACCTGCTCCGGCTCCAGCACCATCCTATTCAGCACCCGCTCCAGCCCCGTCAAGTATTCCCGCTCCACCCTGCGCTAGGAACTACTTGTTCAGCTGCCAGCCAAACCTGGCTCCTGTGCCCTGCAGTGCTCCAGCTCCAGCCCCAGGCTACGGTTCCGCCGGTGCTTACTCCCAGTATTTGCCAGTCTACGCACCACAGCCCATCCAATTTTAGGACAAGCTCAAGGATTTAACGACTTCGCAGATTGATGCCAGACACATCAAAAGACAATAAAATCTCAATGTTTGAAATGACAAACTAAAAAACAACGTTGGGTTAATGTTGCTTTTATTTCGGGGAAAAGGGAAGCAAATGGGGTTCCTTATTTCTTGGTACAAAATCCACCGTCACCGACTATGAATGATTTCTTGATTTCTCAAACAGCTACTAACACAGCCCTAAGGTTCCACTTGGAGTCCCGACTCACACGGATTATGCCAAACCAGATTAACCTTTGAATTGAACGATTTTTCACACGAAAACAATGGGAAGCTCTGCCATACTCGAGAGACAATGTTATCAATATATTTACGCAACACTTAGCAGACTCAGGGTAACCCTGAGTTACCCATTCCGTAATGGTTACCCATTCCGTAATGGTTACCCATTCCGTAATGGTTACCCATTCCGTAGTGATATCCCTGATACCGACGCTGGAGATCGGAAACTATATACCAATATTAATAGCTACAGGGTGGTTGAAAGCAGACCAATAAAACCAAGAAACTATCACAATAGATCTCTTCAGGCCATTCATAACCTGCCTAAAAATGTTTTTTTTTTTTTTGCTTTAAACAAACTTTTTATTATACATAAATATTTTTATCAAAAACATTAACAAATTTTATGCCTTAACTAATAAATGTTTTGCTGTGAAAACAGCAGAAGCACGTGGAAGCTTACTATATAATATATATCCTAAATCTAGATTTATTTAAACCAAAGGAATGAGCATGAAATTTATATTCTTTTTTTCGATAGAATGTAAGGCGTGTGTTTTGTAATTAAAACAATTATGTGTGCACGAGTATGAAATGTTTGAAAACGAAAGTAAATATAGAATAGTTTTCAATTATAGAAAAATGTTTGAATTAACTCAAATTTTGAATTAACTCAATATTCATCTTCCGGTTCGATATCGTCGAAGAAACGCTCAGCTTGTAATTGCTTGCGTATGGCGCCAACCTGTGTCAAAGTTTTCGGAGATGTCGAGGAGACAGTGAATTTTTGAACCGCTGGCACCTATGAATTGTAAAATATACGAGTGAATAAGATCATTAGTTCCTTTTTTAGTATGTGAGCCGATTTAGAAAAAGTGCCTAAAAACAAGATTGGAGTCATATCTGAGAAAGAATTAAACATTACTGAACTGACTATTGAGTTGTTTCGGAATTGATATGAAAATGTATTGAAGATGAACTCCAGAAGTATTTATTGAATAGATTATATATTCGCTGAAAAGGGAAGGGCTCAGTAGGAGTAAAGTAAAAGACAATAGTCGCGGACCGCCGTGCGTCTGTTCGCTTTAGAGTTTTATTGGAGACTGACACTTTTGCTATACATATTCTTTATGCTTACATTCGTATGCAACAGTGACAGATAACTTGTAGATAACATAAGATTATTATCTGCTTATATTAACATGCGTGCATTGGTACTTATGTTTGTATTGATTTTCAACACCCTTCCTCAATGCAAACATGTTTTACAAAAATTTTCAAATCAAATTTAACAGCTTTGTAAAATGAACATGCTTCGCTTTAGGGAGATTTTTCGTTAAAATATCAGCTATCATTTCATTGGTTGATGTATACTGTAAAACAATTTGTTCTTCGTTTACAACCTGTCTTGCAAAATGATATCTAATATCAATATGCTTTGTTCTTTCATGGTGTACAGGATTCTTAGCTAATTGTTGAGCACTTAAATTATCGCCATGAAGAATAGTTGGAGTACTCGAGTCACCGCAGCCAATCTCCACTATAAGACGCCGTAGGTATATGGCCTCCTTACACGCAGTTGAAAGAGCCATATACTCCGCCTCCGTGCTGCTAAGTGCCACGCTGCGTTGCTTTTCAGATCGCCAGGATATGGGTCCTCCAGCCAAGTAGTATACATAGCCAGTATACGACTTGCGATCGATGCGGTCGCCACCCCAGTCTGCATCCACATAGCCGGTAAGGGGTTGTCCACACTCTTTGTAGTGCAACTTCAGGTCCACAGTTGACGCCAGGTATCGAAGCACATGTTTTACACCCACTAGGTGCTCTGCATGCGGATCTTGATTCCGTTGAGCTAACTTGGCAACGGAATGCAATATGTCTGGCCTTGTTGTAAGCGCCAGCCACATTAACTCGCCAATTGAAGACTGGTAGGATGCAATGTCAACCTTTTGACAATGCTCGCTGGTACATATCACTTGGAAACCAGCATCCAGTGGGGTCGCTGTAGGTCTACAGGTCTCGCATCCATGTTCACGCAATATGTCTTTGATGTATTGCGAATTGCTTAGCGAAATTTCGCCAAGCTCACCGTCGCGCTGCACTTCCATGCCAAGGAACAAATGCAGCTCTCCCTTGTCAACACATTCAAACGATGTTGTAATGGCTGACTTGATGTTGGCCAAGTCCTCTTTTGATCGGCATGCTATAATTATATCATCAACATAAACAAGGATTAATGATAAGTCACCTCTTCCGTTCCTTTTGTAAAGACACGGTTCATTTTCACATGCTACAAAATCTATGCCTTGTAGTACACAATCGAGCTTGGAGTTCCACTCGCGCCCCGACTGCTTCAATCCATATATTGCCTTTTTAAGCAATAAAGCCTTACTTGGATTATTGGGATCTGTGTATCCCTGTGGCTGCTTCATATAAACAGTTTCATGCAGGTCGCTATTCAAATAGGCGGTACACACATCTATCTGGTGAAGGTACAGCTTCAATTCCGCTGCTAACGCCAAAATAAACCGCACGGTTTCCAATCTGCAAACGGGTGAGAACGTCTCTACATAGTTCACGCCATACTTCTGGGAGCACCCTTTAGCAACGAGTCGTGCCTTGAAACGTTCGACTTTTCCATCAGAGTCACGTTTCAGGCTGTATACCCACTTGCAACCAACTGCTCGCTGATCTTTTGGTAAATCAGCCATCTGCCAGGTTTCGTTTGATTGTAGTGCCTGATATTCCTTTTGCATCGCCTCTTGCCAGAATACTGCATGTGTGCTACCAACGGCCTGATCATAGGATGTCGGAACCATTACGTCACTAGCAACCAATGCTCCAAGCACATTGTATTGCTTTCTTGGACGACCAGGTTTACCATTTCGAACAATTTTAGGCCGGCCTGGCCCAATCTTCACAGTATCCTCGTCAGAGTCTTCTTTTTCGACTGCACTCTCATATGCGTTGGAGCTGCTGTCGTCAGAACTGTGCTCACTGTCATCGTCGTCGATGCTTCTGTCACCATCCGTGTGAGTGACATGCTCTTGAACCTCGCATGCAGGAAAATCTACCGTAACGGTATCTTCATTGGTATGACCACCACAACGCTCATCAAATAGAATGTCTCGTTTTTCGACAATCGTCCTCGTCTCTGGGTCGTATAACCGATAGCCTTTGGCTGCTACCGAATACCCAACCATACGGTACTCATGCCCTTTGGGTTTGAATTTGCCTTTACGGGGACCCTTTGCAAGTGCAACTGCAATGGAACCAAAAACTTTTAGATGGCTAACACAGGGTTTCTTACCTGTCCACGCTTCCATTGGAGTCAGGTTGTTCAGTGCACTGGTAGGTGATCTGTTTCTTATGTATACTGCTGTGTTGACTGCTTCGGCCCACAAAGACTCGCCTAGGCCCGACTGCACCAATAAGCATCTGGACATCTCCGTTAATGTCCGGTTTGCTCTTTCCGCCACGCCGTTCTGCTGCGGAGTATAAGCCACGGTCAATTGCCTTGCAATACCATGGTGTTTCAGGAAACCGTTGAATGTTGTGTTGACAAACTCGCCTCCATTGTCGGTTCGAATACATTTGAGCTTTTTATCTGTTTGCCGTTCAACCAAGTTTTTAAATTCGACGAACTTACTGAACACTTCATCTTTCTTCCGCAAAAAATAAACAAATATACGCCTGGACTTGTCATCGATGAAGGTCAGAAAGTATTTGGATCCAGCAAGTGACTTCGTGTCGAATGGGCCGCATACATCAGCATGAACCAGTTCCAACAGCTCTTCGGCACGGTTAGTGCTTACCTTTGGGAATGGCTGTACATGTATTTTGCTTAGCATACACGTTTTGCAATTCAAGTTGTCTGGGAAAAAAACCTTTCCAATACCACGCACTAGCTCTTTGCTGATCACTTCCTTCAGACTGGTAAAATTTAAATGGCCATAACGCTTATGCCACAATGTACCATCTGATTCAGTTGCGGAATAACACCTATTTTGTTTGCCTTGAAACATATAAAGGTTCCCAACTTTATTCGCTTTCAGTATACACTCGCCGTTTTGTATAACTTTAGCAAAATGTGGCCCAAAATGTATAACATTGTTCTTTTGCACTGACCGGCTGACGGACATAAAGTTGCCATTCATTTTCGGTACATACAGTACATCTGACAACACCAAGGTACAAAGTTCTGTCTGTAACTTCACCTCTCCTCTGCCTTCGGCCTTCAGGAAACCAGCGTCAGCTAAACCGATCATTTCAGTGTGCGCAATAAATTTTGAAAATAACGTCTTATCGCAACACATATGGCTTGTTGCTCCGCTGTCCAGACACCACATGTTGTTCTCTATCTTTCCAACGTCCAACGCATTTAACAAGCTGCTCTGCTTTTCCATCTCTTTCTTTGTCGATTGCTTTTTCCCTTCACCGCGAATTTTCTCACGCTTGCACTGTGCCTTGTAGTGCCCTTTTTCGCCGCAGTTGTAGCAAACGACGATTTTTGAATTCCTTTTTGAATTCGCTTTGGAATGCGCGACGATCTGCTGCGTAGCTATAAATGCTCTTGCATTCTCGCTCTCTCCATCTGCATTGCCTCTGCGCTCTCCCTCTTCCATCAGCTTGATACATAACACATCAAATGACGGTAAATTGTCACGCGTCTCAATGGCGACGACAAAATTTTCGTATGGTTCGGGCAAGCTTGACAACAACACGATTGTTTTTAACTCATCATTTAATTCGATGCCAACTGTACACAAACCATCCAGAATTTCGTTAAATTCGTGTATGTAACTTGAAATGCTTTGGCCTTGAAACATGCGTTTGCCTAGCAATTTCTTGTACAGCGACACTTTCCGTACAGGTCCACTCGGCTGATGAACGTCCTTTAACTTTTTCCATGCCTCGTACGAAGTGTTGCAATTTTTAATGAAGCCCAATTGTGAAGCTTTTACACTTAGCGTTATAATTGCTAATGCCTTTTCATCTTTTGGCCTTGAACTCTCAGTATTACTAGGTTCAGCACCTGATGCCACACTCCACAATTCCGCGTGCACTAAGACAGATCGCATCTGTATGCTCCATGAGTCATAGTTATGCTCTTCCAATTTGTCTATTTGATATAGCGCACTCATTTTTTAAATGTTATATTTCTTGAGTCACCAAACGATTACTATTTCACAATACTTTGAACTTCTCCTATGAGCCTATATGCCCTGGGCCCATAACCTATTGAATAGATTATATATTCGCTGAAAAGGGAAGGGCTCAGTAGGAGTAAAGTAAAAGACAATAGTCGCGGACCGCCGTGCGTCTGTTCGCTTTAGAGTTTTATTGGAGACTGACACTTTTGCTATACATATTCTTTATGCTTACATTCGTATGCAACAGTGACAGATAACTTGTAGATAACATAAGATTATTATCTGCTTATATTAACATGCGTGCATTGGTACTTATGTTTGTATTGATTTTCAACAGTATTTAGGCATTATTTTGTCGTTGATGTTTTAATAAGGAGGGGTTGTAAAGATTTATACCTAAAGGGGAAACCTGGTATATTAGGTTCGTGCGAAATAAGTAAAAGAGTGAAGGAAGCATCTCCGACCATATAAAACCAAATTTTTCACATTCAATCTATATACTTTTGTTTTAAATTTAATCAAAATCTGTGAAATCTATGAAAAGTTATTAGCAAAACAATTTCACTCCAGTACTGCTATGGGCCTATATAACTCAGAAGTTTGTCTGGCTACAGGGTATGTCATTTTTGGGCTTGCTCGACTGTAGCATTCTCCCTTGATTTCTTTCCTTTCTGTTGACATGACTTTAGGTCTATTTAAAATTGTTTTGGAACTAGTTCAAGAGTTGATTGACCACTCATTCAAAAAAGAAATAAAGAATTTGTTTGACGTTGTAGTTACACAATATTTGCCCATTAAATGGAAAAAGAAATAGAAAGAAAATAACATTCAGAAGCCTTGCCGCAACTGGGATTAAAACTAGTTTAAAAGTAGTTTAGTGACATATTTTCGAAAATGTTTGAACTTGTCCACGTTGATTTGGTTTACAGTCCAAAAAACTCGCAATGAGTTAAAAAAAGTATTAACCAGAACTTGTTTGAAACTGCTTCTCCGAAAGTATACAAGCTAGAAGTTAACAGCTATTATGCCGATAGTTAAGTTCTTTTCTGCTTTGATACCGAATCGGCTTACAACTATTTTAAGCCAAGTTATTAGGTTGTTGAATGTTTTTCCATTACCAAAACGATTTCATATCATTTTGATGTTCAGAACCAGTTCAATAAAATTGAATATTTGTTAAAAATTAATTCAAATATATCACAGTACGCACAAGCTTTTAACATAGCTTGAAGCTGTTTTAAAAGTAGTTACAAAGATATTTAGAGAGATATACGTTGCGAAAATATTGATATTTGATGTCGACATTGTCTGTAGGCCGTAAATGGAGAGCTAGTCATCTCCAAATCAATTCGTAATAGTCCAAGAACATGCTTAATAATATATGTATTTAAAAAGAAAAAAGATATAGTTCGAGAAACGTTTCAGTTAGGCGTGTCCAGCCTCTAAGTCTTTCCCTAAATTCAGCTTCCTCCACCACTTATATAAGGAATAATTTTACATACCTCCCAACGCTTTTTGAGATTATCAATTTTACGTTGACTATTCGAGACCATCACCGTGGTATCCTTACGTGTCATTTTGGGCATTTCACGTAGGAGCGGCATGGATAGATTTTGGGTATCAGATTCAAGCAACACTATATCACGGCGCCCGATGGAATCGGGTGTTGTTTGTGTGCCACGATGGTGGGATTCGCTTTTGCTACGTTGCTTGGCATTGGCCAAGTCTCCGTAATTCTTTAGATAGCGCGACAAACGCTGGTCGGTTTGACGACGCACTCGTTCCATGGCCTGCTCATCGGCGCTGTCCAACTCAAAACTAGTATTGGCACTTCCCGAAGCAATGGGCAAGTGCTCGACGAAAGAGGCTTGCTTAACGGGTGTGGGTTTGTAGTTGGCATGGAACACTGAGTTACGTGCAATGTTTATAGAATAAGGCGGCGAGTTTTCACTAGAAAGCTGATCGAAGCTCGTTGCTTGCACGTCTGGCGAGTCTGGAACTGCATAATTGACCTCCAGTACTCGAAAGGCATTCTCCTTCTCTGCCTTTTGTGGCTGCGACTGCACTTGTGGACCATCAGCCAGTTCGTTAATGTGCATGCGTTCAGTATCTTTGCCACAAGCGACTTCCTCCAAACAAAAGGAGCACAATGTCCGGCGACAACTCATGCACACATTGCGTTCTCGCTGGCACGCACGGCACACATCACTCTTGGCCAGGCAAGTCGTGCACAAGGCATAGAGGCGTTCACATTTCAGACAGACCAGCGCGTAGCTGCTATGACAAAAGTGTTGCTCATCTTCGTCCTGCTCGTTTTCGGCAGCAATTTCGTAGGCAACCTCTCGCTTTTCATCGGATTCGTCAGCACCGCTACCACCGGGTGACCTGCGTTGCTTCATCTTTAGCGCCAGCTTGCGTTGACAACGCAGGCAGCAGCTTTCGTAACTCTTTAGGGGCTCATCACATAGTGGACATATCTTCTCACACAAGTGGAAGCACTCGCGTTCAATCTTCTTCATTGCTGGTATATCGAATTCAAGCTCTACAGCTGGTGGCAAAGGCTGACCACGTCTGTATTCGTGATGCGCTGAGTTACTAAAATACTTATACACTTTGTTCGGACTAGACCTGAGATTGTTATTGTTGCTGTTACTATTTTGCGTATGGCTATTGTTGTTGTTCAGATTGCTGGCATTATGGGTATTGTTCTTTTCAGCTTGCGTTGTTCGTGCTTGTTTGCTGGCCTGCTCCTGCTTTGTTTCCCTTTGTTTCGAATTCAACAGCTGCGCATCTTTTTCCAGTTTGGCCAAAAGCTGCTCACGCATAAATCTATTGTGCTCCGCGTCTATGCGTGCCTATGGAAAAGTTACAAATTACTTTATTTAGTTAAATTGCGGAACTAAATAAAAATGAATATATCATCAGATAATATCTCTAATTCTTAAAGCTACATATTTTAGAAGTTGGAGAGTTTTAAAATATCTTAAAATCTTAAAATGGTTGTGTGTTGTGTTCTTTTCCCTCACCTTCTCCACTTTCATGCGCTCTTTTTCGAGCTGTTCCTCCAACTTAATATTCTTCAGCTGTATTTGCAGGCGTCTATAATACAAATATTTAGCTCCAATCTTCGTTAGCTGTTTGTAATCAGACTTACTTGGTTAAAGCTTCATCTAGTCTGCGCTCGTCTTCCCTTAGAATTTCAACAGCTCTCTGCTTTTCTTCAATCTGTTGCATCAAATCCCTTTGGTAATCCTTTTTGCGTGCCGTTTCAAGCTCCGCACTGCGTAGATTCCGCTCCATAACGCCATCGCCAGTCACAATATTCGATAACTCCACATGGCCGAGATCCTGTAGGAGCTTCTGACGTGTGGTTCCGGGTCGATTCCTATTTTGCTGATAGGTTGTTGTCGTTTTGGGCGGTACGTAGTTGGGATTGCTATTTACAATTAATTCTAGGTCAGTCTTATCCGTTGTGCTGTGCGTCGTGTTAGTTGTTGTGGATGTGCTGCTGTTACCCGAACGCGATGTTATTTGTTGTTGCAGTGTTGCTTTTACTGGCTTATTGGAAGGTCGTTTGCTGGCGTTTTTATCAGGCGGCGCATTTAGCATCTTCAAGTAATAAATAAAAATAAAAACATTAATTCACACTTCACAAGCAGCGATACGGCGCATACATTTTTAACACTTACCAACATACACAAAATAATTCAAATAATAACAGCGACTACTTACCTGATGTCTTAAAAAGTTCTGCTGGTTCTCGCGCTGGCGCTCACGCAAATAGTTTTGCCGTTTCTGATTTTCATTGTTGAAGCCGGGAAAATACGAATAAAATGTGTCCGTAACCCATTGCTCCATATCATCCTGTACATAAGAAATGGAAACGTTAAGTGGGTGCGTGAGGTAGAGAGAAAGCTCAGGAGAGCGCGCACAACAGTAGGCGCCACTATATAGTATAGTATATAGTATATAGTTGGGTTTTTTTTTTTTTTTTTTTTTTGGCGACACTAACAACCAACAAGAAACTCGTAAACATTTTGACGAAACACAACAACCAGCAAATTAAGCCAAACGCTTTTCTTCTCTTTTGGGGTCAACAATTTGGGTAAGAAGTCAGTTGTGGCAGCGGCAGCAGTAGAAGTAGCAGCAGCAGACGCCATGCCTCAACTATGCCTACTGCGATTCATTTTTTGCACATAATTTTTATGCACAACTCCGACGGCAACGAACTCAAAATGCCGACGATGACGACGAGAACGACAACGACGATATACAGTGGTCGGCACTATCTATACAGATAGATAGAATAATTGCTACTTTTATATATCTGTCTGACAGATCTAAGAAGCCCCTTTTACACGCTGTACCCGTAGGGTATAAGTGTTAGGTTTGTTAAAAGTATGTAAAAGGCAGAAGCAGGCATTTCAGACCCCATAAAGTAGAATGTAAACGCCCCTAGTCCCTAGGTAACACGAGTCTATTTTATTTTTTTGATTTGCCCATAATTCGATCAGAATTCTATCAAGCTATAGGATGTACATAAGTATGTAAAAGGTGGAAGCAGGCATTTCATCTGTCCATCCGTGTGGATGAACGCCTGGATTTTGGAATCGGCTGAGGGCACATTGAACTATCATAGAATATAAACGCCCCTAGCCCCTAGGTAACACGAGCGTATTTTATTTTTTTGGATTTGCCCATAATTCCATCAGAATTCTATCAAGCTATAGGATGTACATATGCATATATCGTGTTCATATGTCGATTAATAGCTAATCCTTTTAAGTGGTTTTATGTAAATATAAATCTTAAGCAACCAAAATTGTATTTTCTTTCAAGTAGATTAAAAATCCGTTCCACTGTACATTTTTGCGCATATCGCGTGCCATGTTGGCATGCAAATAATATAGAAAATAATATAAAGTGAATTATGGAAGGTGGGCGGGCGACGGGCGCGTGCCTCTTGGCGCGACTGCGTCATCAGCCCAAGGTGCAGAGGCAAATAAACGAACGTGGCAAAGACGTTGACGGCTAGGCCAGTTTATCAAAGGGGCACAGCTGTTGGGTTGGCCGGGTTGCCTTTTAGAGTGGTTGACTGGCTGACTTGCTGGCTGGCTGGCTGCTTCAACGAAGGACACGGCACTTCAATTTATAAGGTGCACAACATTTAGCTGGAGTTTTGTGTATTAGCGCCTTAATTAAAGTTAACAACTTGAACGTTGCATTTTAATATTTTCATCGCCGTGTGTTCACAGCGTGAAGTTATTTTGCAAACAAACAAAAAATTGCACCACAATTAATGGCAATTAGCAACAACGGAGCGACGAAACGAGGAAGCGCAAGGAAACAAGTCCTATAAGGGCATTCGGTTCCCGTAGTCAATGGTAAGTCAACAATCTACAAATAATTTACATATAATTGAGGTCAAGGAAACTATCAAATAATATGAAGCAGAGAAAATGCCGCGTGAAAACGGTCAACACGAATAAGAACAATACTATTTTCAGTTTTAGTTTGGTGCGCGAAAATTCTTCTGTTACAGTGGTTAAGTCATTTTATTTTTAGTGTCTAAACTTAGACTCGTAATGTTGATTAAAAAGTAAACTTTTCAAAAAGATAATTAACGCATTTCATAACTGCAAACAACTATTTAAATGTATAGTAAATGGATTGATATATATCGATAACATATGCATATTGGATCAATTGTTTCTAAATGAATGCGTTTAGAAAAACTAAAATCATCTTTTCCCAATCAATCTTTTCCCAACCGATAGTACAGGCCTGAGCTCATTTCAAAAGCCATATTTCCGACTTCTTAATTGTTTAATTGTTGTTATACCATTGCTGCTTAAGTATAGCAGGCGCAATATAGGTTGGTTTTTTTCTTCAGTAATATAGTCATATCCAGATTCTTTTATAACTTATCAGGAAAACCCAGCAAAAGTAGCTATATATATTTATATTACTGGATAATATACATATGTATATAAAATTCTGCTTTAACACTCTACTCTACTTCTTGGAAAATGGAATACGTGGAACATTGGCCTCAAGTCTAGACAATAAATAGCACAACACACATCTTAAAGTTCAAATGCCAGTGCACTCAAATCTGAAATATATTTATCGAGCTCTTCAGCGTTTTTTTACCACCAACAGGAATGTCGTTCCATAGTACGTTATCGCCACAGTTGTCGTCTAACATTTACTATGCCATTCATTAGCCCTGGGGCCCAGGAATCGGCCATGCCATCGGTCTGGTTGCGTGTCGCATCCAAATTGGGTTAACTAAGTGGGAACTTGTTTGCGCGAATAGTGCGAAACCCAATGAAAATGCGTGTAAAAATGAGTCGGAGTATAATTTTGAAAGTGAAAGCAATGGGTTAACTGAGGCGTAGAAGTCGCGTCGCGAATGTTGAACCAATTGCATATATTTACATAGAAGTTCAAGGGCAGGCTTTGGAATTTAAATTACATTGCAATGGACTTTTTTATAGGCTTCAACACCCTAAAAACTTTGATATGGCTCACATATGGCTGCTCAAATCAGTGGCTAAAGCTTTTAACGTCACGCTTTTCAAATTATTCGTAACGGTTCATTAGACGGAGGTCAACAAAGACGAACAGTACAAAAAGGGGCGGGCACATGGGAATTATAACTTGTACTGGACGAACGCGTCTCTCTGCTTTTAGCGTATTAATTGGTTTGAACTATATATTTAATTGAACTCCCACCAACGCATCAATCATCAAAACTGGTTGTTATTACCAATTAATATGTTCAATATCAAGTTAAGGGGTGTGGCAGCAGATCGCACTTAATTTTGTACGTCCAATGCAACGCCTCAGCACCTCCCCAGCCCTTCGTTCATCTATTGGACAACAGCAGAACGTGGACGCAAAAAATGGCACAATGCACTTTGGTGCTTGCATGACCAGCGCTTTCGATTTTCATATGCACGAGCAATAAAAATTTAAATGAGTTGGTAAAAAATGCAAACAAGTAGTAAAAAAAGGAAGCCAAAAGTAGCCGGCAAAACAACCAAAACAAACCAACACAGGCATATAGCTAAAATATTTCTGCATCTAAACACGCGCACCTTTTCTAAACTCAGTATAAGAGTACAGCAAATGCATCTGATAAGAAGTTATAAAATTAGCAATACAATATTATTCAGCATAAAACAATTATACCAAGTTTGTTTAATTTCACAAAGTATTTCTGTACTTCTGCCAAATGGTATTACGAAAAACAAACGCATTTCTACAACAGACATCAATTTCCGAAGGACTATATTAAATTTGAACATAATTCGAACTAAACAGGAGTAACATTTTGGTGCATTTATCGGGTCTGTGAACAGTGTCATATATCCATATTATAAACCTAAGACTAACATTTAAATTTGAATTCTACTCATTGAACATCGGAAGGGACATGGTTCTTGGTTTGTAAGTTTGTACACACATATAAGTATGATAAGCATGACATGGATAATCAAAATTGGAACATGAGTCATAAAAGCCAAAGTGAAAGCCGTAACGGGCCCGGTAAAAGCTTTGTTTAGACCAGGCATATGCAAATGGAACGGTTAACCCTTATATAATGCTGTTATAATTATTTTATGCAATTTGCACTTCTTTTAGAAACAATGTTGTTTAGTCAGGGGGAACCAAATCAACATTACATTTTAAAACGTTGCAAGTTGAATGTTCAACAATTATACAATTTTAAATATTTGTTGGACTTAAGGTTACGGCATTATTCTATAATATTTTGTGTGTATTGATTAAACAGAGTACAAAAAAAATTGTTATTTACACGACAATTTTAAAAATACAACCCAAAGAATTTGGTACAGTACCTTTATATTTCATGTCATACTTATATAATGCTGTTCATAATTAAAATTCTGTGTCAATTCCACTTAACGGACAATTTCCTAATTGTTGTTTAGTCAGACTGGGAAAAAAACACACATAGCCTTTTAAAATTGTAACTAATTGTAAAATGTAACTAAGTTGCTAAGTAAGGTATTTTTATAACAAAAATCGTTTTTAAAGAAAATAAAATAATACAAATTTCTTTCCAAATTCGCTGGCCCCTTACGTAAGTTGGTAAATATGCAATGACAATGTCCAAGACTGTGCACCTGTCCTTGAACTTACTTGTAATTTTCGCACAATTATATAAACAATGTACTATTTGACACGTGTATTTGAGGACATTGATAAAATCGTAGCAATAGTTAAATATGTGTACTTAAGCCCTGTACATACTATTTAACAGGATGGGGTTCTCCTTGTGTTTGTATTAGAAATATCGAAATGTAGTATGTATTGAAATAAATTGGATTATACTTTGGGCAACAACTCATCATTTTACTAGGTTTGGAAAAATAAGTACCAACAAGTTAATTTTAGCACCAAACTATCTAAAGTCTGGAAGTTCTATTGGTTTTCATTGAAGTAACATACTAAAAATTCATATCGGACTGGCTATCTGTTGGAACACATTGTTATTTATAATCTAATGCATATTTATTGTTAAATTTGTGTATTTGGGCACCGCATTCACACATTTTTGCTTTCTCTTAACGCATTGGTGCTGCACACTTTTTTATAGTATGTTTTAATTGATGGCAATCAGCGCATGTCGCCCTTCTCACCTTTTTTTTTTTTTTTTTTTTTGTATATTTTTAATGGAAATTTATTTCAAGTTCAGGTGAAAAACAAAATAAACAAACCTAAACGCAAACGCAACAAACGAGCTTCAAATTACAACTGAGTTGTGGCAGCAAATTCATTAAGCGAATGGCCGTGGGTGCCAACAATAGGAAACCGAACTGGAGCGGCACATGCAACAACAACAACACTAACAACAATAAAAACGAAAACAAAGGGCATGAAAATTTGATAGAGGAGGCCAACGAGGGCGCTGAGCTCGAAAGTTTAAAATGTACCTAGAAAAGTAACGACAAAATGTTTAATAATTAAAATGCAGACATGACGCGTGCCTCACCAAACAAGTATTAGAAAGAATTGAGGCAGGCTCTACACACATAACAGTCACACACACACACATGCATATAAAGAAAAATAAATAAATAAACAAAAGCAAAGCAGAGGAAAATGTAAACAACAAATTAAAAATTTTGAGCTGAAAGGGAAAGCTGCAGCTCTTGCTGTTTAGCGCAACACGCAACTATAACTGCAATTTAATGAATATATTCAACAAAATAGAAACCATTTTCATTTAGTACGAATATGGAATACCCTTTCTGTCCAAATGCGAAATACATATCTGTATAGCAACGGAATACCCAAGAAACTCAAGAATATTATGGACAATTTATTTTTATTTCATATTATTCCAAAATCTTACGAAACTAAAATATATTGGCAATTGAGTAGTCATATATTCAAAAAGGGGAGGCCATATTTTAATTAATAAACCAGAAACTAACTATTCTTGACGAAGCTAATCGATATAGTAATAAGTATACAAGAAAGCGTAACTATTGTTTGGACAGTGGACGAATTTCAAAGGAAAGAAGGAAAAATAGTATACCTTTATAACAAACCATTATTTTAAATGGAAATACAGTTGAGCCTCGATTATGCCGACCTTTATCAGTCAGGAACATCTGTTAATCGGGTTGCTGAGTGGCTAATTTTATACAATTAATGATCATTTCTGTTACCCATGATATACTTGTGTTATCGGTGACTAATATTATACCTCGGGTTACCCTCTTTAATCCATGATAAACATTTGGGCATTACCATAATAACTTATTAATTCAAATGATAGACGTGAACTCGTTAAATATTTGAACATCAATACAGCTTTGTGAACTGACAGCCGAGGTTTCAATGGCTCTGAGAGTTCTTAAATAATCAATAACTTAAGTTGTTGAGATACAATCAGATATAATACCCGTAAAATAGGTAGGATGTAAAACCGATGCTATTTCAAACTGGGTTACGCTGCTATCGAATCGATTCCTATTTATCTGAATCGTGAACACGATTCATCAAACCCAATTTTATGAATTTAGTTTAAATTCTAACAAATCGGATGTAGAACTTTCAAAGTCCACATTAGATCAGGTAATATAAACTAATAATGTTCTGCAACAGTTCTTCGAAAATTGTCCAGAGAAAACCACAAATTTATCTCATACACACTCACTTACTCGTAAAACAATCAAAAGCTAAAGAGATCAGACAGACTATCTTCAAAGAACTTTTGAAAAAATGTGTTTCATGATATACTTATGTATGATTATGGATAGAGATTTACTTTTTGTTTTTAAAAATAAAAATAATAAATACATTAAAATCTTTTGTATTTGATTGCAAAACGGTTATTTCATTTGGTTTAATCATTTGATAAAATATTCTGGAAGCAAACCGGATGTGTGCTTGAATAAAACAGTTTAAATGCCAATGTGTGAAACATTTCCAAAGTTATAAGCAACTAATGAGCAGAAATCAAAGGTGAATTGAAGTAAACACTCACCATAAGACAAAGAAAATTGCCAGCGTAGTGAGTTAAAAGCTGTTTGCAACTGTAGCGCACATGAACTTATAAGTAGTAATCTTTCAAAGAAGCTCAAGATGCGCTTCAATTGCCGGCAAATTTGGCAACGCTTGGTAGCTCAAGCAACGAGGCATAAAGAAATTTCAGCCTAGTTATGGAAGTCACGCAAAATTGGCAATGGGCCAACTGAAGCGTATTAAATCAAATTGGCAAACAACAAATATGCAATTAAAAGCAAACAAATAAAGAATTCCAACGCACTCACCCCCTTTCCGCGTCTAATTGGCAAGCGGTTCTCGCTCAGCGGTCGTCCGCCTTCGAATTTGTTTGGCGACACATTTGGCGATTTGTAATTACGGGCGCTGCCGACAAGCAATTCGCGTTGATTCACAAAGTCCTTGGCCGATTTGTGCAGCGGCTTCTCAGCCTCCTCTTGTTGCGGCTCCTCCCCATCCACCTCCACACCCTCGCTGTGCACGCCAGTCAAATTTAAATGCAGCTCATCGCTCAAAACGCTCGCCGCGCATTCGGCCTCCGACGCGCCTGTCGCGTATATCGTGTAACTTCTCGGTGTGCTTGGGTTTGGTTGCTGTTGATTGGCGGCACTTGTGGTTGCGGTTGCTAGGGAAGACGTCAGTTCATTGCACTCGGAGTTGGAGCTGCGTGCGCTGGACACGCGTTGGCACTGCGCGGGTACAAAGTTTTCTGTTTGCATTAACAAGGCAGCGGGACATGTTTCTGCACTATGTGCATCGGCATTGTTGTTGTTGTTGCTGCTGCTCTTGACTGCACTTAAACGTTTACGTTCGTATTGCAGTTGTTGGCGCTCCAGCGATAAAAATTCGTGGAGGTCCATGGTGATTTGTATGGAAGCGTTGGTAATTGACTCTTAAACAGCTTATGAACACTACATTATTAAACGACATACAAATTTAAGCGGTCGGAAAAGTGCAAATGGTCTGCGCGCTAGAGTTACAATAAATTAACTCTTCGATAACAATCGTCTATCGATTACTGCTTCAATTATAGCGCTGAAAAGCGCGGCAAAGTTTTGGCGGGACGGTTTTTATTTTAAATTACTTGGCTGTCATTTTTCCTAGTACTAAACGTGGACAGCCAAATAATTATTTGGACTAAACGGTGCAAAATAACACAACCACAAGCAAATTAGCACACCTGTTAGTAGGCATTGAAATAAATTTCCTTCCTAGGGCTTGGTTGATGTTGATTGGCGGCACTGGTGGTTGCGGTTGCTAGGGAAGACGCCAATTCATTGCACTCGTGGTTGGAGCTGTGTGCGCTGGACACGCGCTAGCACTGCGCGGGTACAAAGTTTTCTGTTTGCATTAACAAGGCAGCGGGACATGTTTCTGCACTATGTGCATCGGCATTGTTGTTGTTGTTGCTGCTGCTCTTGACTGCACTTAAACGTTTACGTTCGTATTGCAGTTGTTGGCGCTCCAGCGATAAAAATTCGTGGAGGTCCATGGTGATTTGTATGGAAGCGTTGGTAATTGACTCTTAAACAGCTTATGAACACTACATTATTAAACGACATACAAATTTAAGCGGTCGGAAATGTGCAAATGGACTGCGCGCTAGAGTCGTAATAAATTACCTTTTCGATAACAATCGTTCGTCGATTACTGCTTCAATTATAGTGCTGGAGAGCGCGGCATAGTTTTGGCGGGACTGTTTTTATTTTAAATTACTTGGCTAACTAATTGGTGCAAAGTAACGCAACCACAAGCAAATTAGCACACCTGTTAGTAGGCATTGAAATAAATATCCTTCCAATTCAATCAACGTATTATATCAGTTTGTTTTTCACCCAACAGTACAAAATCATTGTAGTACAAACGTATTTATTATTATAGATTGCTTTGGGTAAATATCGGCGAGTTACGCTCTACAGTTTACGCATTTATTGCCATTTATTAGTTCGAAATGCCTTCCAAAACGAAGACAAACGATTCAGAGTCGCCCTGGTACCTTCATTTTTACAATGCCATTCGACAGACGCCCATTAATGTGACACTATTAATTGTCTCGGCTTTTATTTTCTACAAAGTGGTGAGCATTACGCGTCGCCGGAATCAGAGCGTGCAGCATCGACTGACACCAGGACAAGGCTCTTTTTTAACTGCTGAAAACCGATTACCACCTTTGCGCAGCGACTTTACAGTACGCGAGCTACGAGCGTACAACGGCACCCATGAAGATGGACGCATACTTTTAGCCATAAATTTTAATGTTTACGATGTTTCACATGCAAAACACTTTTATGGACCCGGCGGCATTTACCCCAACTACGCAGGCCGAGACATATCACGGAATCTAATCAACTTTTCGGTTGAAAGCAACGAGAACGAGGAATTCGATGATTTGTGCGACTTAAATTCTGGACAAATGGCAACACTTCGTGAGTGGGATCATCAATATGCCGAGAAATATCCATTGGTAGGGAAGTTATTGCGCGAGGGACAGCCGCATACAAATTATGCCGATGAAGAGGATGACGAACCAGAGAAAATAACTCAAGAATAAATAATGAAAAGTTTATGCAAATTAATAAATGCAAATATAACTGCTCATTCGCACAGAAATAAAATATATTTTAAGCCTAGCCGTCACTCTGTCCCAATAATCTGTACAGTACTGCTTTTAGTGTCGAGCAACGCACAACACTTTCGATTGGCGAACGTTAAGTCAAAATCAGCTGTTTGTGACAGCGTTTCTTCTTCCGTTTCTTTTCACTGTCAACGCCAGCAAGATGAAGTACGTAGAGACCCGGGAAATGAAAATTAATTTGTCGAATTAGCAAACATCGCTATGCACAATTGGCTAGAATATGCGCGATACTGTAGCACACACAACTAATTTGTGCTCCTTAGTGAAATATTTTCAACTAATCTATAAACAACGTATTATTTTTGCAGAATCGGTTTGTGTTCATTCAGTGGGTACAAAATCTACCCTGGCCATGGCAAAACCATGGTTAAGATCGATGGCAAGGTATGTATACAAAATTTACTGGCGCTGTAAATATTTACTAATCCTATTTACATAATCCTTTCCAGACCTTCACCTTCCTGGACAAGAAGTGCGAGCGTTCCTACCTGATGAAACGCAATCCACGCAAAGTCACTTGGACTGTGTTGTACCGCCGCAAGCACCGCAAGGGAATTGAGGAGGAAGCTTCAAAGAAGCGTACGCGCCGCACACAGAAATTCCAGCGCGCTATTGTGGGCGCTTCGCTGGCCGAAATCATGGCCAAGCGTAACATGAAGCCTGAGGTACGCAAGGCGCAACGCGACCAAGCCATCAAGGTTGCCAAGGAACAGAAGCGTGCCGCTAAAGCCGCTAAGAAGGCAGCTGCTCCAGCACCCGCCAAGAAATCAGCGCCCAAGCAGAAGGCAGCTAAGGTGACGCAGAAATCCGCGCCCCGTGTTGGTGGCAAGCGATAAACAACAACATATTGCCGGCTACCGGAAGTGAAGTGCGTATAAATTAAAGTTTAAAAATAACATGGCTTAAGAACACAAGTGGAAAAAAATTAAAGAACGCTACGAATGCAAATTCGTGGCGGCAAAAAAAAAAAAAGAACTGTGTTTGAAAAAAGGTTATTTTTATTTGTTACTCGGAAGCTATATGAATTCGATGTTGTATTTCTTAACACCAATGAAATTGGACAATCGTCCAACTGCATCGCTGTGCGTTACAATATACGTCATGGCTGGCTCGTAGAGCTCTGTGACTTCCTCCTCTCGGCACTCCTCATATTCGCTCTCCACTTGCACCGACTGCTGCTGAATCTCCATCAGATGTATGCACTTCAGGATGCGCAGCAGCTCCAACAGTAGCATTATGTCAACAGGCGCCAGATTGGGATAACGCTGGAAAATGCTGTGCACGGTGCAGCCATTGCGAGAGATGCATTCACTGACAAGCGTGCTCAGCCAGCGATCGAGGACTCTTCGATTTATGGTTGCATTCAAACGAATCCAGGGCTGTGGACGCATCACAATGCATTCGCGGGACATCTCCGCAACAGTAGCGGCTAGAAAGTCTGCCTCGGCCATCGCAGCGCCACTGGCTTGGCGGTTACGCCGTGGCCGTTCGTCATCGATTGTGTCAACGCTGCTTGCACTAGATGTCTGCTCCACATCTGCTAGTTTAGCCTTTTTGCTGGTGCTAGGCTGCTCATCTGCCTCAGCCGTTTCCACTAGCTTCCTTTTCCGTTTAGCCTCATTAACAACAGCGAGCGGCAATGACGGCGTATTGGCCACTTCAGCTGGCACCACACGTTCCCTATTCAGGCGTTTCATGTGGAAGGTGTGGACGACCCAGTTCCGTATGTGCAGCTTATGCACATATACGAAATTTGCAACGCCTACACGCTTGATGAGATGGTGATTGGCTAGCAAATTTAGGGCCTCAAGTAAAAATTTTCCCAGCGGGAAAACGCACCTCAATTCAGTGCCCATAATCCCCAAAGGATGTTGCTCAATCTTCTTCAGAATGTCCTCAATGTGTAGTATAGCCTGATGGTCATATTTTTGCTGGACCAATAGCGGGCGCAACGTCTCAAAAGTATTGGAGGTGTAGTTCCAGTAGGTTTCCCTGGAAGAAGTGAGGAATACAAGTAGTACAGCCGATTTAAAATTATTGCCGTGTCTGACTGTGGCATTGAAAAGTATTGACACTTACTTGGCCACCTTATCCAGTACAGCTTTGTTTAGGCTTTCCATTTCCTGCTCCATGATCTTTGATAGTTCCACGTCCATCTCATGCTTTGCACTGAGCTGAAGCTTAATTTTGGGCAAATGGACTACAAACACATCCTGAGCTCGAGCGCGTTCCTCTTTGTTAATGGCCGGTTCGGATTCTTTGGCACGATCCGCATCCCACATTTGCGGATCGTAGTCGAGCAGTGCCAGACAAATTGCTCGCAAGTCGGTTAACCTGTGAAGTGTACGTTCTGCCATGGTCTTGCCCAGATCCTTGATCTCATATGGTTGCTCCTGTTCACGCCAATACATTTCGAGTTGTCGCACCAAAGATATCAGAGTGCCGGACTCTATGAAAATGGTATTGGTGCCGCTGTTCAACAAATGGATGGAAGTTTGTGGCAAAGTGTCCGCCACAAGTTGCCGCAAAATTTCCCGCTGCTCGTGCACAATACGCTCCACGGCATTTAAATAGTTTCCCGCACGCATGATGCATGAAAAGGGGCACTCGGGTATGTCGACGAAGCCACCATCCACATGATCCCGACGCATTAGCTTTGCAAAGTTCAGCTGCAGAGGCTGGCCAATATTGTTGAGCGCACAAAAGAAATGCATCACGCGTTGCGGTAACTTAGAGATCAGATCATAGGGACTGCATTGCCACTTATAGTTTAGATTGCCCGGATGGAAGCGTACCCGAGACGACTGTTTGCCACTGCCTTCGCTTTCCATGCGCTTGGAATATTCCGTCTGCGGCGCATTATCAAAAATGCTACTGTAATGATCCAAAATGCGGTCCGATCCAGAGACACTGTCCCGAGCCATGCTCTTTGTATCAACTGTGAGTATATTGGCTGGCAATTGCAAAGATACACGCAAAAGGTCCTTTGACAGGCCTTCACCTATGAAGAAGAGCTGTGCGAAATTTGGCGATCGTAGCTCCACACATTTTAACGTATTTGGCTCCAATTGCGTCTCTTTCAGCTTCTTCAGTGCGTTCTTAGCAAAACTAAAGTATGCTTCGAAGACCACATAATTGACCTTTACATAGATTAACTTATTTTTGTACTTGGAGGAGAGCAAATATGTGGGACCGGACAGATTTCGACTGATCATGTGAATGTTGCGACGTTTCAGAGCCACGACAAGACCATCGGTTCGGGCCTTCAGAAATGCAGCATTGAGAACACTCTCCGAGAAATTCTTATATATCTCGAAAGCCTGCAAATTGTAGAGTGTCTTATCCTTTGCTGAGCAGAGTTGACTATGCAGGACACATTGCACCATAGTCGACTGCAGCTCCTCGTCTGTGGTCGGATCACTGTGGTGCAGCTGTTGATCACCACTCAATGGCGAGCACTCACGCAGCTGATTCTGATAGTCCTCCAAGAGGTCGGGAATTAAAAACTTTGGTGCAGCAGAACGACTCTAAAAAATAGGGTTTCACACAAAAGCCATAGAAAATTGGTTGGAAAAGTCGGACAACAGTAGTCAACTAAATTATGCTATGGTCCAACATATTCATGTATAATTTCCATACAAATTGTTCCAGGTTTTAAAGTAGGCTAGGGAAATCAGTTTTCAAACAGGCTAAACGCAAGAGCAAAGAGAGGCAGCCCGTGAAACGCCTTGATTCGAAAGGAGAAATCGTAGAGCTAATTGCACAGATCAACAAGGAGATAGATTTCGAATAGTTGATTTCGTTTCTATACAATCACACAATTGACTACAGCACGCATCCATTCGTTTGCATTTGTCTAATGGGCGTTGTTTGCGAGTTTTGTGCGGCATTGAGGTTTGGTTTTGAAACGCGTCTTCTAGAGAACACTCAAAAAAAAATGTTTTCAAATGACTTCATCCGAAGCGGAAATTCCAGAAGAACACGGACTTAATCCAACATTCAAGGTAATTTATTATGAAGATTAATATCACTTTAATATCAAGATTATTAATCCATTAAATGGATTAATGGGTGTATGTTTGGCCACATATAACGAAATGTGAACTCAAAACCGGGCCACTAGTTAAAATTATAAGTAAATACCAAATTTGTTTATGATATTGTAATAAAATAATTGTGGTACTAATTTTGATTTAAAAGCGATCGTTATATGTCAGCTATATAAAATAATGAGGCAAAATATGATTTGTAATAAACTCGACCTGCGCATTAATAGGACAAGCCTACATTTAATTTTGATGTTGTCATCTGTAATGGTTAATAGAAATTGATGTTCATACAGAAGGACAGGGACTAATTGATGTTATATCATTTCTATGTAACATAAGATCATCTTGGCTATATAGTTTGGATATTTTAAGTTTCTGTCCACCTGAAACTCACGATCAGTAATGACATATATCTTTAAAACTCACCTTCACTTTGACCAATCGATTCAGTTTGATCATCGCCAGCACGATATGCACCAACAGGGCCTCATTATATTCCGTACGCATGGGATATTCTCGTGCGAGCTCGTCCAGAAAATTTACATTGTTAATAACATTGAATTCCGGTTCGGTCTGTATGGTGTATACCCAGTTCGTAACATCAGGCACATCCCTTTTCTTCTTCATTAGAAACTGCAAACGACGGACACAAGCCTGAATTGTTTTGTTGCGTATTCCGAGGTATTCGCGTATCACATCCCGACAAATAGTGCCCAAATTGAAGAGACCAAATGTAGCCACCGGGGCATCGATGACTAAAGAGATGGCGCGTGCCAGCTTCAGCACACGATCCTCATCGGCTGCCCAGGAGACGCGCAGAGTGCGCATGTTCTTCAGGGCATCGCGATCGACATCATCCCGTGGGCCTTTACTTTTGCTTTTACCGGCAGTCCCATCCTTGGTTCCTTTGATTATTCTACCCGTCTTACCGCGAGCCTTCTGTAACGTCCTCCGCATAGTCAGCTTCACCGTCTTGGGTAGTTTCTGACGCACCACCAGCGACGATGCTCCTTTATTCTGCACCATCGACCAGTGATGGAAATGATGGGCATACAGCACGGAGCTGAGGCCAGCAGCACCCAAATGATCGCCTGGCAAATGTCCTGTATCATCAATGGGTGCCTTTTCAAAGTCCTCCACGTATTTAAGAAATACCAGGGGCTTGATCCGTTCACAACGCTTATGGCCAGCTGGATCGCATTTACTACGAAATCCTAGCTTAGTATACATGCAAATCTGTTGAAGTCGCGCCCAATAATGTGCCACATCCTCACGATCGGCGAACTGAAAGGGTATATCCTCGTATTTCAAATTGGGATTGATCATTTTAAAGTTGCAGTCGCTGCTCGTGGTGTCCAGCAGAGTGGTAAGGCGATTCACGTACACCCAACAGTAAAGAGGGTTGCGTCCCAACTTACGATCCGTAACCTGCACCAATCCCATGTTGTTCAGCAGGCGCAGCGCGTTCATATAGAGATTTTGCTGATGCAAGCGGGGCAATACCCCCTGCAGTTCCATTGGTAGCTGCCGCATTAGATAATGCTGCTTCACTGGATGCTTTACATACGCACCCAGTCGGTCCGTATCAATATTTTCGAGCCGGAAGATGCGCTGGAACAAAGAGAGAGGCATGCGATCGACGGCATCCATGAAATAAATCCAACCCGATGGTTTCTCATCGTAACATTGCACGGGTGTTATGAAAGTCCGCCAACTAATTTCGTTCGAAAAGGCCTGTATTGGTTGGTTCTGCGACTGCCACTCCTCCAGGAATTCCTTGGGCATCAAGGTCGGTTCGCTGCGCTGCCAATGTTGCAGCAACTCTATACTGATGGGCATGGGTTTCTTATCCGTCGGGAGCTCCCGGGTCAGGTAGAAGAGGAACTCATGCATCGCACGTGCCACTATAAATTTCGGGAGCTTATAGCGAACGTTTTGTCCCAAGCGCTCCACTCGCAACTTCCGCTGCACGTTCTCTACACGCGGCCTCATCTGCTTGGCTACAGCATTCTTTGGCTGCTTGCGATCCTCAATATTCAGGAGGAAGTTATTCTTTAGCCGCAGGACTGCTCGCTGCATCTGCATATGGTCCACCACAATTTTGGGATGTGTTACCAAGCGATGTACCCGCACCTGGTTTTTATGCTGCAGCGTTACTTGATATACGTTAAGGACTTTCGCCTCTCGCAGTGTGTAGAGCAGACGCAGCAGAGATTTGTGGCATATCGAATCGTGATAGCCCATTTGTTTTTCAGCTTCCTGAATCCTGTGACGGAGATCGGCGACCGGCAGCAAACAACACTCGTCAATTTGCTGCACAATTAAGGACTTGCGCTGCACCTGTCGCTGTGTGTTCGTATCCAGAAAGTTGCTCTTGAAATGCAATACCAGCGGCAACACATTCGCGACAATTTCTGGTACATCGAAGAGCACAACGTCCGCATTATCGGTCACGCACTAAACGAAGAATATACAAGTGGTATCATAGTATCATAGTTAAAAAAAAAAAATAAAAAAATAACTATTTCTATATGAGATAAATAAACAGGTCTAAAGATGCAAAATATATCGGCGTTAAGAGGAATTAAAGGGTATATTTTAACTTTTCTTATAAGATTTCTGATTTAGATTTATTGAGAGGAGTATTGGTTAGATTTGAGTGGTTTCTTCGAACTGATTTAATGGCTTTAATTCTGTTGTTTTTCTTCTTATTTGAAACAATGCCTTAATACCAACAATATTATTGTCCTGAGATGTTGTAGGATTTGTAGACTTACCGGTTCCTCTTTGCACTGCAGTTTTTGTAGCGTTTTCTTCAGCTGATCCTTTTTCTCATCCACCTGCGCAGCTTGCTTGACCGATACATAGCGCATGATTCGCTGCTTTCCCACGTGTTCCTGATAGTCCTTTATCTGTTTCTCTCGCAGCAAAAAGCGTATAATACCCCGTACAGTAAGGGTATTAAGCCCTACGAAATTCGACAATTCATGCATACCAACCCCACGTGTGCCAAAGCGTTCGATTGCACGAAGACACTCATCCTCGGCGGGCATGTCTATGTAGGAATGGCGTACGCTCAGATACTCATGACCCTTCTCTTCCTTTACTTCGGGTTCCCCCTGATAGAGTTGGTCGAAGGTCATATTGGGATTCCGCAGCTGTAGAACTGACACCTTTCGCTCTGTGGGCTTGCCCGACTTGCGAATCGAGGATTCCAGGACAATGTGGTTCTCAAATACTTTGCGAAACGCATGCGTTGTCATTAGGCGTTTCACACTTTTATGCTTGTTAACACTGGGACTCCACATTTGCAGTTCTGTGACAGGTATTTGGCCCGTTGGCCTGCTCTTGAGCTCCAAGAACAGTTTTTCAATTACCATTTGCATGTGGGCTTTGTAGATGCGAAAGAAACGCGGCAGCATAAGCAATCTGGCGTAAGCTAGGCGCTCGAAACGCATCTCCGTGTACGGCTGATCCGTAATAAGTTGCAGTTGCAGCAGCTTGTTCCTTAAATTGCAAAACGAATGTGTTAATATTGAGCTTACCAAAAATTTGAGAATCTTACTTTATGTAGAACATGAGATTGGCGTCTTTGACGAAATTTAAAAGCGACCATTGACCCACCGTCGTTTCGCCATTGTAGCGCGAGCGTCCCACGGCCTCCCACACCACATATTGTTGCGGCGTCAGATCGATCGGCTGCTGCACATTGTGAGGTGTCAGCGCTATATAGCGCTCTTCTTGCGAGGCCACCACAACCAGCCTTTGGCCCCATTTTTCTGTGGCCTGTGCTGCAGTCAGTCCGCTTAGTTCGCTTATAATGAGCAACTTGCGCGTCATATAATCGATACAATTGCCCATATTCGATCCATCATGCACAGGAGCATAGGGATAGCGCTGGAAAGGACATTTCTCCGCCTGCACTGGAACCCCAAGTTCTTCATCGTGATCATTGAGGCGGTTGTAAATCGGCACAAATTCACGCGGAACAGGTAGTTCGAAGAACTGAACTTTTTTATCCGAGCGCAGCAGCAATGTCCAGATCTGTTGCTGCAAGATTTCGGGCAAGGGCGTGCCAATCTGTAGACGCTCGGATAGCAGGATCCACAAGGCTGTAAAAATTTAGTATTACTATGGCAATCAATTTTCATAATTTCTACTTACACGGTAAGGTAACGCCCTCTAGGCCTTCAAGCGCTACTTCATCAAATACAGCACTGATCCATGAGCCACTTGACATGGCACTCATCATTAATTCCACAAAATTATATTTGAATTAGCAATAAAATAGTTTGCTTTGCGAAACTTCCTGAACGTTGTTACCCGCTACGGCTGTTAATTTTTATCGATATATATATATATCGATATTTTTTTGCAAGCAGCTGTGTTTCATGAGCAGCAGCTGTTGCATGTACGCATAACTGTTTTTCCCCTATGGGCAGCACTGGCCAGCTCATCGCCATGGTTACTTGCATGCATATTCTCCTTAAGTCCCATCACTAACAAGGCCAAAACAACAATACAAACCGGAAATGTAAACAAACAAAGAAATCTGCAGCAATGGAACGTTCTTCCGTTCCAACAATTAAAAATTTAAAAAAAAAACACGTTCTCTCCGAGTGGACCTTCTTTCAGTGAAAATGGAAATGCGTTTACTACTTAATGTGTTTGGAAAAGTCACCAGTAGGCCATCAAATAAGAATGAAAAACAACATGGAGTAACTACACAATATGCCATTTCTAGCCGTAATAATATTTTCGCCCTGTGTTTAGAATTATTTGGCAATCCACTCACTTGCCTATGAAAGTTTACAATTGCTTCTAGTTTTTAGTCGCAATTAGAAGTAATTAAAAATTGGTTAGAAGAGCCATTATTTTCAACTTAAGTTTTAACGAATCTAATTAGAATATTTAATTAATTTTAAAAATTGTTGTTACTTCATTCACTTATTAATTACCTGAAAGCGAAACAAAATACATAAATTGATTAATTTATCTTTTATTTGAAGTCATTTCCTGCGAATAGAAGCTTCAACAGGTGTTATGTTCAAATTTTAACCGTCAATAGAATGCTACAGTCCTCAAGCAAAATAAGAATAAAGAATGTTAAAAAGTGGATTCTTCTTGAGCTGGTGGTAAAACTTGATCGAATTTATTCAATAAGGTTTTATGGGCTTACCATAAGTTGACAGTCCGCTATAAATTCGGGATTGAAAAGGCTGATTTTTTTTCAATAGGAAATATTGTTCATAAAGAATATAACATCATTTGTGTATACATATGTATGTGTTCCTTTGACCGATCTCCCAAAAATATGGTGAAATATGTCCTTTATACTCGTAAGATTACCACCTTAAAAACTCCAAAAAGAGTATGATTTCTGTTTTATTTTTTAAGTAGTTACAATTTTATTTCAGTATTTAATACATTAAAAATTTTTTGGGGCAATACTAGACATAAATTATACAGTTTTCTTTAGAGTTTGTTTTGCTGTTGTTTTTCTTTTTCTTTTTACACATACATTTATCGAAATAGCTATTTTGTTAGAGTCTCTTTGGCATTGGCACATATGGAAAATGCAAATAAAATATAAAAAAAAAAATATACGCATTAAATTATTTTTAAGAAGTACATAAAATAATTCAGAGTTTAAGACATCTTAAACGTAAAGAAAAACTGAAACCGAACCTCTTGTAAGGAATGTAATTCCTCTTTTAAAAACGACTATGGCTGATACTATATCTTTTAAAAATGCAACAAAGTTCGCCTTAACCGGCTTATGTACTTTCTAAATGGTGGAATTATTGGTTGTGCTCTTCAGTAGCTATTGAAGCCTGCGAGGACCAAAAAAAATCACAAATCAAGAACTCCAATGTCATAACAAAGCAACAAACTCACGCAGTCTACATACTTGGTACATAAAAGCTATCAAATGCCTATACAAGATTGCGGCAACAATTAGTATGTGCCGCCTACCAGGGCCGCCACATGCTCTCGTCCTGGCAAGCCTGACCCGCCGCCGCTACAGCCGCTGCCTGTGCCAGATACTCTTCCTCCTGGCGAAGGCGTAACGCCTGACGCGCCGCACTGCTCGTCTGGGGACTGGCGTCCAACGCTTCGCTGGAGCCAATGCCGCTCTCAGAGCGCGGCGAAGATTGCTGCGTTGCTGGCACGGATTTTAGTTCCGACACGCCCGAACTGACCGAAGCCGATGCCACCGTCGAGGCAACAGAGGCGGGTCTTTCGGTGTGTGCACTCACCGCCGCTACTGTCGAAGTGGTGGCTGCCGCTGCCATCGAATTGGCGTAAGCTGCTGCCGCAGCAGCAGCCACATGTGCCGCATCCAAGCCACCGGCAGTATAGGGACTCAGTTTGCCTTGCGCGGCCGTCAACTGGGCCGCTAAATGTGGTTGCATGCGCTGCAGTTCGATGAGACGCTCGAAGTCCGTGCGCGTGGCAATTGGATCAACGGATTGGGCACTCAGTCCCAGAGCCGCCGCCAACTGCACATAATGTGGGGGCAGGACAAGTACACCAGTGGCTGCTACGCCCTCCACTTGGGTCTGAGCCTTCAGCTGTTGCTTATATTGCTCCAAAACATTCACACACAGCTTGCTGCGCTCATCCTCGTAGGCCATCATGCCGTTCATATCGCTCACGGGCACGCTCTCTAGTGGTGTGGGTGGTGCAGGCGGTGGCTGCTGCTGTGGCTGCTGTTGTTGCTGCTGTTGCTGGGGCTGTTGCTGTCCACGATTATTGTTCTCATCCTGTGGCGCTGGTGTGGTTTGAAGCACTCGCTGCTCGCAACCAATCAAAGCACCCCCGCCGACCTTGAGGCCCTTGCTATAGTCCAGCGGATTCGAATCCTGACTGCTGTAGTCCAGTGAATGTTCATCGCCCTGCGATTTCTTAGCCAACGCTGTGCTATTGATGTCGTAACAGCTACTGCTTGGACTGTCCGCAAAGTTGGATGTGCTGTGCGGGCATATCTCAACATCGATTTCAGCTATGCACTGATCCAAGTGCCGCAAAAGCCGTGCTTTGGAGCCTGGCTCGGCCAGCGAGGGCATACTGCCACCCATGGGTGCTGGCGGCTCGGGAGTGGCCAAATAGCGGGCCACCTCGCGAGCGCAGTCCGTATAGCCAGCACGGTATTTATTGACAGCTGTGGAAATCAGAAGCTACTATATAACTAAAGTTCCGGGAGAATGGTATTATAGCGCAGGAAATCGAACAAACAATCGAAAATGAAACATTTTGTTATACTATTTTTCATTTAATAAAGGTATTAAAGGGTTGGAGATGCGAATTGTTTTGATTTGTTTTAGTTGGATTTCCTTTGGCTGCTTTTTACGTACATGGATCATCTAGATTGCGATGTCTTTGAAAATGCCGAACAGTCAACTCCAAAATGTCTGCCTTCTCGAGCTTTGTGTGCTTTGTAGCCTGTCCATCACCATTTTTGGCATTCTGATGCTTCGTCGACTCCAAAATAAGAGCCTTGAGTATGGCAAGGCTTTGATTGATGCGAGCACGTCTTCGTTTCTCCATTAGTGGTTTGTTCGTACGTTTGCTGATATCCTGCGACGACGATGTTACATTTTGAGTGGAGCTCACCAGTGCAATGGATTTTACGCCGTTGCCATTGGTCGAGCTAGAAGCGTTGAATCCGAGGCCTGTGCACGAGATAAAAATAAACTGTATAGCTTCGATGGCGACTAATATAAATGACTTCTAAAGAATAATTTCTTCAGTATGTTTTTTTTTTAAATATATACAAACGTTCCTTGCGAAATATGCAATTTTATCAGTCACCAATATTAGAAGGAAGGGTATGAAGAACTCAAATTAAAATGCACTAGTAAAATTAAGCAGGCCTGGAATAAGTTGTAAAGCTCCACGAGCAGATGAGAAGAAACTCTTTTGGTTTCTTGATGAAAAGGTTGTAAAGTGCACCGGGCTAGATCTTTTCCAGATACTGGCTGGAAATTAACTGGTTAATATTTTCATGTCCAATAAAAACAATTCCACTGGTCCAGATCCTTGTGTAGTTATCGGGTTTATTTGATTAATTTTCTTATTTTGTTCTCCTATTGGTGCATTTAAATATACACATAATTCTGTTATTACACGGTGTTGAATTAACACGGTTATGGTTAAACGACTTTATTACATTTAGCACAATTCAAAATAACACAAAATAAGTAAATAAATTAAGAACCCACTGTATAACTTTTCAACTTGAAATGCACTGCCTTTACATCCAGGATATAGTAAGATGCTTCGACGCAGCTTAATGATTTGATCCAATAAATGTATGTAGACATATGTCTTTACAAAAACTATGGCTTAGAAATTAAAAAATTAATTAAATGAGAAACTAACTATCCAAACTAATACATAGTAATAGTAATAATTTTTAAATAAAAAGGGACTTCAATGATTAGGTGAAAAGTTATTGTCTAGCCTAATCAATCGGAAATTTTAAATAATTCAAGTAATTTTAAAGGTTGTTAACACTCTTTTATGTCCTATAAATTAATTACATCAGTTATGAATTCCCACTCTACACGAAATACCAGTTTATTAAAGCCGCTCACGTTATACAACTATATGTACGAGTATACACACACATATATTTGTTTTAATATTTAAAGAGATTTCAAATTGAGTATCACGCTTCTATGTCCTTTATTGTCGATGATTTGTAAAAACAACTACAATTTTGCACTCAATACGAAACGCCTTTTCAAAGGTGTCATTTCTATTAATTCAAATTTAAATGATTCAATATATGTATATATATTTTTTGACAATAATTGAAGAAAATCAATGTCTTTTGTGCAAATAATTCTATTGCTATTAGGTTTTGCACTCGAAACGAAATGCCTGTTCTACAGAACCGTTAAAGTTCATTAAAGATTAACACTATCGAATATATCTATTTGTTTTTCAAAACTTGAAGAAATTGATTATCACGGCTCTATGTCCTTTTTCTTGTGGTACATTATTTATAACAACTATGATTTTGCACTCATCGAGCCGTTAAAGGTCATTAAATATTAAAACTATTAAATATTTGTTTTTGGAATGAGCTTTACCCGCTGTTGCTTTATTTTTGGTATAATCCTTATCACGTTTTGCTGTCATTTTGTCATTTTTACGGATTTCAAATGAATCCGTCGCACACGCGTCACTAATTAATGTTTATCCTGTGGCTCTAGTGCTTAACACCTGTGCACAAAACTCGAGCGTTTTTGAATTTAATACAATGCGCCAAACAGTTTCCGATTTACGTCGTTTTCCTTTCCATATACAAAGCGTTGTTAAAGTGCCGTCGCCCGTGATGAAAGAGACGTCCGCACTGCCCGAGAGCGCAAAGCGTACTGTTTGTGAACTAACGGTAACCGAAGGCGTTACGTTACGCGCTTGACAATGACGTCGCTTTTGGCTTGTCCTTTGTAAAAAGCAGACGCGTGCGTGTTGCTCGTCCAAAATTCCCCGACAGACTGTGGCTTGGCTCGTTTGGATGACTGGCTGGCTGGCTGGCAGACTTGCCTGCTGCTGCTGCTGTTGCTGCCACTGGCACGAGCCAAAGTCGAGTCGTCGTGTGGCGCAGCAACCAAAGCAGATTGGAGTCAACCAACAATAAAAACAGCAACAGCAACAACAACAGCAACAGCACAGTGGCAACGGCAGCAACGCCTGGCTGACTGCCTGGCACGTTAATGGTGGTTGTGGTAATGGTTGGCCCACACACACACACATACATGCACACAGGCGCGTACACACGCTTTAACAGCGGCGGCATGTTTCCAGTGGGTGGCAAGTTGGTTGCGGCAAATGTCAGCCAGCGAGCCTGCCCGAGCGACGGGCTGACGAGCTGACTAGCTGGCGGTTTGTCACCGTCGTCGGCTGTCGCATGGACGATGGGACGGCGTTGCCATGTCTGGCTTTGGCGCGCACACAAAGTTCGCACGTACGCGCGCGCCTCACTCCATTCTGGCAACGACTGGCAAACCCACACACATACACACACACTCACTGGCGCATACAAATCAATTCGTTTAGGCACAAATAGAATAGCCCAGCAAACATTTTTAGACTTTCATTGAATCGTTAGGCATTTGCATACATTTTTATTTTTTATTTCTATCATATTTTCAAGAAAGCTTAAGGTGGTTCTTTAATTTGAAAAAAACTAAGACAATGGTCGGTCAGATAGCCAAATAATTGCAAAATTCAGTCGAAATTCACAAGTAAGCCATACATTTAATGTTAATTCAATCAAAACTAATCCAAATTCTATACAAAAAGATAGTTTTCTGCTACAAGAAACTACTTTGATATGTTAAGATCTTCTTTTGCCTTATTCCCAAACCAAAATTACATTTATTTCATTCTGTTATCTTAACTCCTTCTAAGCTTTGTGCACTACAAATTAACAAATTTTCTTTGCCAATTGGAAAGCGGACATCTATAAATATGGGGTTGAATTTTCGTTTAATCCAAAGCCATATTTAAATGCAATCATAGTACGATTTGAACAATTGTCAGGATTTATTGAAACTTAAACATAGAAAAACATTGGTTATATTATTTAATGATAAGTATGTAATGTATGATATACATAAATATCCTTTCATACATTACCACACCACCATAGAAAAAGAAAGCCACAAAAAATAAGGTAAATTTAAATCGTTTTTAAGTCACTTTGTAAATATGTATATTTTCCCGGAATACTACATATTGTATTCGCCACTCTCGACTTTTAAGCAAACCTCTGTAAATTTGTGTATTGGGTTATCAATGCCGTCCGCTGCTTGCCCGCAGCAAGTTAGCCATGGTTGCGGCTTGCGGGTGTGGGTGCGGATGCGGAAACGGGGGATGGCGCCGGGCTCGTCGATGCCGCTTGGCTACCCGCATCGAAATCATAACACCAACGAGGCGAAACTTTAGCGCCGCAACAGTCGTGGCAAATAATAAGCCAGGCGACAGAAGTGGCAGGAGAGCCAGACGAGGACGACAACTGTGACTGCGGCAGGGAACATTTCAGTAAATACAGCGTAGGTGGGGGGAAAAGGTGGGGGTCATCAAGACGACAGCAGCATGTTGACACAGACAGACGAAAAGACCAAAAGCAGCGCCTGCCAGATATGCAACATAAAAAAGGCCAACAAAATTACTCATTCACGGGTAACTTTAAGTATCGACAGCAATAGATATTCGATGATCGTGCCAACTTGGCACTCAGTTTCGATAAAATTGGAAGCGATCATATCGATATGTAGCAGCCTCAAAAAGCACGCTACGAAATACTGCATTGCAGACGCCCACAATAGAGGTGTTTACTGAAATGAAAAAAGAGAACAGCTGATGGTCAGCACAAATAGCGGCAACAAAAAATGCTGCCAATTGCTTATCGCAAGTGTTTGTGTGTGTGCGTGTATGTGTAAGTGTTTGCCAGTCTATTCGTTTGATGAGCTACGTTTGTTTGGCGGCCATTCGCCCAAATTCCACACCCCTTGCTTCCATGCAATCAGCGAGGGGAAGGAAAGGAAAGACAGTCAGTCGTTGACTGTTCGTGCGCGCCCCTGCTAAGCATCAGCTGAAGTGTTGCGGCGCGTTCAAACGCACACACTCACAAAAACACACTCACACACCTTGCCACGTCGTGTGCGCTTGTTACAAATTCAGACACACATCAAGGCGGCAACAACGATAACGTTGTCGTCTGGGCTCAACGCTGACGATGACATTGTCAGGCTGGTTTTGTTGGCGGCCCGATGGGTGGTGGGCCAGGCGCGTGTGTTAACTGACAATCCCGTTGCGGCGTTGGCAATGGCGACAACACTACCAACACACACTCACATAGGACGACACCAGACAACTAAAGCCATGCCCTCCCCCCCTCCACACACACACACATTGCTTTTACCAAAATCACACTGACAAACATGCACAACGATCCCAAACTCTTGACTGGGCACTATGCACACTGGTCTTGATTGAGACCAAATTCAATTATTTGGCGACTTGAATTAACCCAATTTTATTTCAATCTATAAGGACACGAACAAACTCTACTTGTATATACATACATACACATATGTACATAAGTCGCCGCTCTCGACTAAAGCTACGCTAAGGTTAAACATGATTTGATATTTTTGGGAGAGATACCAGAATTACTTCACTATCTTGATCAAATCATATCGTTTGTATGACAGCTATAAGATACTGATTTTGAAAACTTTATATGTTAAACTTACCCGATTTTCTTCTGTTTTTAAGCATCATATTTATTGTGATATTTACAATACCTTGCCGACAATTCATTCCAATAGTAGGTGGACCAGCATACTGAAAAGGTAAAAGGATTCTGTATGAAAATGATGTTTGGTTTCATTTTAAAAGAATAAGTTAACTTTTACTTTTTCTCTATTAATTAATATGAGGTGCCAACATATACAAAACAAAACTTTTAAAAATTAAGGAAACTACCATAATATCCCACATGTGATAAAAAATAATACCTGTTCAATAGAAATATTTATGACAGTTGATGACTAACGCCGATGGAGATTTGTAACTTTTCTGAAGATGCATCAACCATGTTGGCTATTCAGACTCCATGAGTGGCAACAATTTTCTGACAATAGATACAAAACCGTCAAAAGGTCCTGAAAAGCGGGTCTTTTTTCTTCGTAAAGGCATTGACTTCAAAAGGACCTCAAACGGGGTGTTCTTGTTGGATTAAAATTCTTTAAATTTCAATTAAAAACCAGAACACAATCCATAAGGGCTGCAAAATTTTTAGCTGGGGACGTGAATTAATGGACACAAAGTTAGGCAGCCGCAAAGTTATTGATATACGATAACAATAATTAGCTGCAATTTCATGAGGCCGGTCACAGTTTAGGCCACACGCAGACCCACAGTGCAACCAATGCCAGCCGTTGTCGTTTTTGTTGTAGTTGCCATTGCTGTTCAACGACAAAAGGACAGACAGACAGGCCGTCAAACTGTCGGTCGCAGCGTTGCGCAAGCTATTTTTTTCACTACACGGCCAGTTCCAATCAGTATCAACCCACACACCCATACACACACGCGTCAGCAACGTTGCTGTTGCCGACGACCATGACGGGGACAGCGGCATTTTCCTGTGTTTTTTTTTTGTCTTCCTTTTTTTTGCTGCTTGCGTGCGACACTGATCCCTCTTGGCCCGCCAGCCAAATTACTGAACTGAACTGAACGATGACTTGAATGCTGTCGACTGTGCATTGCTGTTGTTTTTGTTGTTGTTGCTGCTCTGGTGATTGCTGGTGTGGGGGAAGTTCGCGTGGCGTTTGGGTTGCCCAACTATGGCAACATCACACGCACACACACACATAAATCGTTTATAGCCTGCCCGACGACTCTGGGCGGCCATCGTCATCATCTGCCAGCTGCTAAGCTCCAACAACAGCAACAACAATGGTCCACCACCCACTCACCCACAGTCCTCGCAGGCGGCACTGTTGTTTCTGCTCGACTTGACTGCCTCCTGCTCGGCAAAATTGTGCCCACACACAGTCGACCAACCAATTCAGGCATGTGCTTCGCGTCGGCAGCAGGTCATATAAGCATACAATATAACCAGGGCCGTAGACAGCATCTAATGTAGTAGGGTCCAAGATTTTGTCTCAACAGTTTTATAATTTAAATGTGATACTTATTAACTGCCTTGAATGATACATAATCGATCAATTTTTAGTGACTAGAGCTCTGATTTTCCATTATTTTAAATAATGCTGTACATGGAAACAAAAGTGAACATTAAGGTTCGTACAAATTACTTAGAAAGCTCTATTAGAAAATTCTCGTTTCTTAGTATTGCCAATCTCTTATTGTAGCTATGACATATCAACACTCGATATGTATGTTGTGGAGCATTACAAGAAACGTAAGGCATTCCTTTCGTAGCTCTTCTGCAAAATTAATATACGTAGCCCATTAACATGAAATGGATCCCAAATTTACATGGCGAGAAGATAATAAATGTCTTATCATTTAAACAGATATATTATTGGGATGATATTAAATATATATATATATTTAATATTTAAGTTCAACAGCAGCGACACAAAAAAAATTATCTCAATGTTGAATTAAAGACAAGCTGTTCCTCCCTTCGCTACGCCCATGAACATATGTAGCACCAGGTTTTAATTTCAATGTGCGGCCTACACGACCTCAACAAATGCGCTGTAATGCTTATTCAATCGATGTTTGCCATTACGCAGCGATCGATACGCGACGCGCGCAAGTATCGATGACTACTTGCCCAATCGATGTGATTTTTGACTGGGAGTAT